TTTAGGAAAGGTAATGCTTTAGATAAAAGGATTTAATGTTTATCTTTATATCTTTAATCCTTTTAAATCTTATCTACTTATCTTATTTACACTTGTAATTTAGCACTCAAAGTAAAGCTTCTAAAAAAGTAGCAAGCTAGTTTTAACTTAAATAGTATTATCTATAGCGCTGCAATTATTTTCATAGTACGATATACTTTTCTGCTTATACTTCTTCTTCAGTAAGTGTCAGCGTCGTCTAAGCTCATAGTCTCTTCATATATAAAACCCCAGTCCTCTTCAATATTTAGTAATGCACCGGCTTTCACAAGATCATTCATCTCGCCCCTGTCCAGCTGTTCTGAATCAAAGTCCTGTTTCTTATTCTCACTATGTACAGACTTTAGACGCTCGTCTGGTGGAGAAGGGACCTTTACCCGACGCACGGAACGTCGTCGTCGGCCAATGCTAGCGGCCTCGCTGTCCTTCTGGAGTCTCTCGAAGTCGGCGAGGAGAGGAGCGGTGGGGTCTTCGTTAAGGTGGGCGTCAAGGCGGAAGAGGTTACTTGATGCATACTCGGGGCCTTGAACGGCGCCAATGACGGGATTGTGGGAAAGTCGCAAGCATCGCGTATCGAGATATGTCCGACGAGCGTATGATGCATCGTCCAGCTCCGTATCGGTATCCATGCCATCCTCGTCGGCGCCGGGTGGGTCCGGCTCCGGATGGAGAAGTAGCGGTTGTGGACGGCGAAGCCGCCGGGTAGTGCCGGGCAGAGTCATAAAATGAGATTCGGGCGCATCACGCGCATCTATTGAGAGGATAAAGCAGCGACCAGTGGCGTCGCCTATTGCCAGTTTCGAGTTGTCGGGGGAGAAACCACCCCAAGCGATGGGTCCTGGTGCTGTAAGGATGTCCCGCACGAAAGGTGCTTTACGCCTGCGTATATTCCACACTTTGACTACTCCGTCACTCGATCCTGTGTAGAAACGGGCCAGAGTGGTGTTCCAGGCAGTGAACTTGATACCTGTATCTTCTTTCTCGCGGTCTCCACAATATTCTTCGATAGGTTTTCCGTGACGGAGCGTGTGAATGGGCCTATCACCCTGGGCCGTGTCCCAGACATAAACCTTGCCGTCAGTGCACGCGGCGCTCACATAGGCGTGCCCGGGCGAGTTGGGAACAAACGTGAGCTCGTTGATGTCGGAGGCCTTGCAGTCAAGTGCTTGATACTGGGCAAACCCGGTACCACCCAAGCGCTCCTTATCGCGCTGGAATATGTGAACCTGGGTCCTGATCTTAGGGGTGCTGATACTTAAGCCAGTTGGTGTTGTTGCAACAATGAAGCGTTGCAGTGTTGGATGCCAGGCGACTTCGAAGACGTTGGCTGTTGATGCTGTGAGTACAGGGATCTGCTTGTTCTCCTCTGCGTTCCATAATATAATTTCCCCTGAAGTCTTTTTGTCTTCAGGGATATCCTGATCATCACCTGTCAAACTTCGAGGCGAGTAGCCGACTAAAAGTAAATGCTGGCAGCCTGGGGCCCTTCCCCACTGCATCGTTGCTGGGAAGTAAGCCCACTTGTCAGACCCTTCAGCGTCCTTTCTCGAGCAAGAAAAGGTCTGGTATGTACTGTTTGCCTCATTGCCCTTTTCAATAGTATAGATTCTCACAGCATCTGTCGGCGAATCTGCCGCTGTCGCTACTCTGCCGGATCTATCCTTTGCAGCAGCGACGAAGTTGACGTTACCAGTGTGTTGCCATGTAGCAATGGCTTCCATGTGCGCCCCCTTCGAATTGACCTTCCAAACTTTGACTGTTTTATCGAAACCTGAGGTATAAGCCAAATCGTCCTGCTCGTTATAGTCAGATGATACAACTGAAGAGTAAAGCCAAGGATCTTGACTCTGCCTCATGGCCTCTGTCGAGTTCTCTCCTTTTTCGACTCGTGGACGTGGTATTCTATGGTCGGGAAATGCACGCAGCGTGCCCTTGGTTGTTGAGCAAAGAAGCAGATTTCCTGGTTTATTGTATTGTTGGTTGTGAGTGTCGGAGTGAGTTGTCGTGCCACACGTGAAGCTTTCATTGGAGACCCAAGCTCCTGTTGTAATGTCACCAGCGCAATTGGTGAATTCAGCTACTACCTCCAGATCGTCCTCGCAGAGCGTCTTGAATTCTTCCCGAAAATTCAAATATTGCCGAGTGCGCTGACATCCATGATTTCCTGACATTTCTCGCGCAAGTAGCAGGGATGAGAGCCTGCTCGCCCTTCTCAGTTGACCCTCGCGCTTCTTGGTTTGTTCGCTCACGGGTTCGGCAGTAAACGACAACACACGCGGAACCTCAGCCACTTGTCCAGCCCATAGATCCGCTGCAAAAGCGTTCATATCGCGATTAGACCGCCCACTCGATGCAGGCAAATTCCCCAGCCTGACACATCGCGTTAGGGTTTCGAGAGTAGGCGCTAAACGCTCGTTCTTATATTGCGAAAGCTGTTCCGTAATCTGGGCGATCTCGTCAGGTGAGAAGTCGACATGGTATGCAACTGGTTGCAGCGGCAACTCAGTGCTGCTGATGTTCACGGGATGCCTTGTACCCGCCTTGATCGCATTACGATACTCTGCGGTGATATATGGCTTTTTGGTGAGTTGGTAGAATCGATTTTGAGGATTAGGTTCGCGGCGCTCGCGAGGCTTGTACGGTCGCCTTTGGACATGCTGAGAGATCTCCGTTTCTGAAGCCTTCGGTAGCTCAGGCGCAAAGAAAAACGTTGGGGGGTTCGATTCTCTTGGCCTTGTCGGTTGGTGTAGCGTAGACCTGGGTCCTTCTCTTTCTTTCGGGCCCCTTAATTCGTCCGATTCTGGCTCCGACCCGAAGTCTGAAGAATGGGACTCCTCCGTTTGCCCTCGTGGTGGAGTGGCCACACGAGTCGCTCGATGGAGTTGTCTTGCTGGAGGTGTCGGGGAGGCTATAGGTGCCACGCGGAACTCCTAGGAATATACGTTAGGAAATACATAATCCCAGGCTCGTGTAATCATATGCTCACCGAACCCTCTGAAAGCCTCTTAACGACATCGCACGCCTGAGTAGAGAGGATACTCAGATCCGTCGGGCTGAGATAACCGCATGTCTCATCCCATCTTCGCCGGAAGAACTTGCTTATACAGAGTTCCGTAACTGTCTTGAATAGCCGTTGGTTAGCTAATTAAGCACTTCGCGACGAGAACCATCTTGTTTGTTTACCTTGATTGCGAGAGCGTTAATGTGATAAACTTCGCGCGGGAGCCTCTCAACCGCCGAGCTGACCAGCGGCCGGATCTGTTGCTGCAGGCATTCCTTCACGCTGCGTCTCTCGACGCGCCGACGTTTATGAGGAGGTTCGTTGCCCGTCCGGGCAAGGTTATGTAGCAGTGGTATGGGTGCCGTAGGCACTCTGCCACGGTTATCAATAGACCTAGAGACCGTCGTCGTTAGCCCAAAAGCCATGGGAGAAATGCGCCCAAGTGAAGGGTAAGATCAATTAGAATGACGTCCGGCGCGTAAAGGAGCGCGACGGGGATGAATCACTTACCCCATGGCCCCATTTGGCGTTGTTGAGGTGATAAGGTGATAAAGAAGCATTAGAAGAGGGTTAGCGGGCCTAAGAGGTGGAAAATAGATGATCCAGAGTGCTATCTAAGCTTAGGGGTAAAAAGATTACTAAAGTTATAAGTTCTAGCTACTTTTAAAGTCTTTATAAGTTAAAATAGCTTAAATGGTATATTATATAAGTATGAAGCTATATTATATGTAAATCATATAAAATATATATTAAAGCATAGTAGTAACTATCTAGAAGATAAAATAGACCTTAGTAATACTTATATAAAGTAGTTATACAAGTTCTTCAGAAATAGTTATAATAGGAATCAATCAGTATATTGAGAAATCGCAATTACAATCGTTACAAGAGGTTAACTGCAGTTGCAAAGTTAAGGCATGCATTGGTGCTGTTCCTTTGCCGTAAACAAGAGCTTGGCAGAGTACTGTTTATAACACCTTGCAATTTCCATTCAACAGTATAAAACATCTAGGATCTTAGAAGAAAAGAACTTCCTTACAAATAAAAGCTTTTGTAAAGGGATAGTTGCAAATAATAGTTTGCTACATATGCATTGCTAGTATACTATAATAACCATCTACAAGTTCAAGCCGCTTAATAAGCCCTTCAGCATATACGCAAAATCGCCAATGCAGATTTAACGCCAAAATCACATATTTGAACTGACATACCACAGTATTTTACAGCTTGTTCTTTCCAATTGGCTCCTGGGCCGCGAGCTCCTCGTACATGCGGTCGATATGGTCTCGGAAGGCCTTGGCGGCCTGGGGACGCTTAAGCTTAAGTCTAGAAGAATTATAACGTCAGCTAATGAGTTCTTTACCATACAAAAAGAGTCCAAACGGTTCGGGGGAACTTACGTAGGGGTGAATAGTCCGTTATCGATAGTAAAGGGGTCGATGTCAAGGTGGACGTTGCGTACTTTCTCAAAGCTGTTGAATTTGTGCTTGCTGCCAATGGTATCAAGGACCTTGATGAACTTGGCCTTCACCTTGGGGTTATTGGCTGCAACGCGCAGATCCGCGACCTGGTTAGGAGTGATGGTCTCCTGCAAGATCTTGCTGGCAAATGGCGCAAAGTTCTCAACGTCGATACCGAAAATTGCGACCAATGAGGACTGCGTACCGTCGCCGTGGACATAAGCCGCATTGACAAGGTTGCTGCTACCCAGGTAGACGTTCTCGATACGCTCCGGGGAGATGTACTCGCCCTGTGCGAGCTTGAGGACGTTCTTCTTGCGGTCGATGATCTTGAAGCGACCCATCTTATCGATCTCACAGATGTCACCACTGTGGAACCAACCATCGGCATCCAGAGTCTTGCGGGTCTCCTCGTCATTCTTGTAATACTCGCGGAAAATGACGGGGCCGCGGAGGAGAAGCTCACCGCGAGGGTTGGGCTTGTCATCCACGGTGTAATCGAATTCGGGTACAGACTCGAGGCAAAGTTCCACACAGCACATGGGGCCGCCAATGTTTCCGGTGGTGAAGTCGCCTCGGGCTTGGATGGAGCCGACAGCGTATGTCTCAGTCATACCAAAACCTTGAGCGAAGTGGTTAGCGAAAGCAGCGCGCAAGAATTGCTGAACGTCGGGATCAAGCTGAGCGCTACCGCTGACCATGCTGTGAACCTTGTCCATGCCCACGGCAGCCTTGACCTTGGGGGTCCAGATTCGGTCGTACAGGAAGTGTGTGTTGGAGGCCTGTCCGGGTGGCAGTCGCATGTTTGCCTTCTTGGTCTCGATGACACGTCGAGAGAGCGCGCCTCGAACACCCTCGGCCTCAATAGTGGCGGTGCGGATAGCTGAGTTGAAGCGGTTGAACAGTCGGGGGACGGAGATGAAGCCTGTGGGCTTGAGAATCTTCATATCATCGACCAAACCCAAAATATCACCTCGGAAGAAACCAATCGCGGCACCCTCAGCGACAGCGATCTGATCAATGAGACGACCGTAAATGTGGGCAAGAGGCAGATATGACATGTGAGTGTCCTTGGGGCTCACATTGCCGTTAGTTCGACCACCTGCGATGGCAGAGACCGCGTTTCCGTGGGTAATGACAACACCCTTGGGGTTGCCGGTGGTTCCTGAGGTGTAGTTGATGGTGCAGAGATCGTCGCGAGTGGGAGGTTGAGGCGCACGTCCAGACTTGGCACCAATCTCCTCAACCTGAGCCATGGAGAAAATCTGGATTCCATGGTGAGAAGCAATTTCATTCAAGACAGAGGCCTTGGTGTGGGAAGCCAGTTCGCCTTGCTCAAGAGGATCGAGAGACACGATAAGCTTCAGCCCGGGAAGTCGAGGCGACATCTTGAGAAGAACAGGGATGTGAGGCAGAGAGCAGACAACGCAAGTAACCTCGGCATGGTTGATAATGTATTCTGTGGTATCGGGACCAAGAGTTTCGTAGAGCGAGACAGTGTATAGTGACTGAGAAGCAATACCGAAATCTATATCGAGGCTTGTGTTAGCAATTGCAACCTCATTCACGATTTACATGTATGCAGGTTCACGGCGCAACATCCTAGATCCATGATGCGACGCCGTGACCAAGAGGGGCAGGGGACAGCCTTACCAGCGATCTGCCACTCAGCTCTGTTCTGCGACCACAAACCAACACCGTACTTTTCAGGTGCATAGTTAATAGCCTTGTGAATCTCAACAATGCCAGCGCCAAAGTTCTTTCTTCGGATGTCGAAATCGGCGTAGGTGATCCAGTCGTACTTGTCCTCCCACTGCTGAGTCGTCTGGTTCCAATGGCGAGTTCCGAGACATTTGGAATTGGGCCACTTGCGCGCACTCCTGTTCAAGATGTCGTGTGTAGAATTGATGCCAGGCTCAAGAGCAGTGACGAGAGGGCCATCGCCGACTGCCCAGTGTCGGTAGGCGGCGGTGCGGTTGGGCTTCTCGGTTCCGGCAACTGGCACGCCGTAGGGCCGGCCTGGAGGAGGATTTGTAGTGAGCTTTTTGTACAGGATGTCGTAATCCTTTTGTGTTTGGAGCGCCATTGTTGAGGATGTCGGGTTTCCTTGTTAATTGGGGGAATTGGAATTAGAATTGGAGGGGTCACAGTCTTGTGAAGCGAGGCAAGACAAGACAGAGAGACCGGGGGCACAAGAAGGATCCTGAGTCGGTTCAAGAGGCGGGGAAGACGGTTGAAGCGGTTACCCAGGCGAGAGAGCAAGAGACGAAGAAGGGGGGAGGTGGAATGCAGGTATTCGGAGGAACACAAGCACAAAAGTAAGGATGAGCGAGTCTCTTGCAGGTCAGGTAGAGGTGGATGATATCACAAGGCGCAAAAAGTAAAAAGGAAGAGAGGAAGAGAAAAGGATGCTGAATTACGGAGGAACAGGATTAGGTTTTGAGGAAGCGACAATGTCTAAGGTAGAGTAGAGATGCCTTGGCCAAGTCGACGCCATCGGCTTGGAAGAGTCCACTCCACTGACAGTGGATGATGGGGGACCGAGGCGCGTCACGTACAAGAGCCTGTGCCTCGGCAGCCCCAGATTTCATGGTCCCCAACTAACAGAATAGGGAGTAGCGTCACCTGGGAGCTTGTCTGGGGAACTTGTATCCCCCGCGATATGTTGTGTACTTTCACTGTCTAGTCTTTTTTTGCAGTGGTTGGTCGCGGGACATGGACTTTATTCAGCCAAGTGAGCCGAGGATGTTTGATTGATATGGAGAAATGCAGCTGTCCGTCTGCAGTTCGTTGCATTATCCCTGTAACCATTCCATTGTCAGGTAATCTGTTACTCCGTATCTTAGTACTTGATGCGGGGAGAAGAAAAAGGGAGGGAAATGTGATTGATTCTCTCCAACTTGTCAGCTTTTGACCCCAAGGTTCAAGACTCACATGCACAGATATTGGTATTTTCACTAACTACATCATGACAGCCAAGCAAAATGCAAAGGGTACGACCGCGTGGTAATACCGTACGGCACATGCAGTGACACTTTGCCATCATCCGTTAAACCCGTCAGCACCTTGTTCACCCAAACCCAAACTCAAACCCAAGCACCTCTAGGTATCTACGGATAATGACTGGCCACAGACACAGACGCTAAGAAGCTCTTCCCGAAGGCCTGGAGATCCTTCTTTTCTTTCAGGGTCTGTCCGTCCAAACAGAAGACGTCTTGACCCCCCTTTTAGAGTCAAGTCCGGTATGTTCGGGTCATGTCCTTTTTTCGGTTACATGTGAATTCGCATCAACCGACATAAAAAGTCATGTCTGTCTGCTGACCTCTTGTTGAGAGGTTTTTAACATGATTGGTTCTACTGGCTATTCGGTAGGTATATACAGTACAGAAAGTATCATCTTCAGCATTTCACTGCTTGATGGTTTCCCCAGAATGGATCTCTACAGTACTCCACCGGCAATGAACGGATATACGGATACCCCATGGCTCCGTATCCGACCGAATGGACCTTGAATTCTTCAACCAGTCAACTCGAACCCACCTGCAAAACACGTGCGCGCAGAGTTCAGCGCTTACAGAAAGGAAAAACCGTCTGAGCTACGCTGATCACTATCACTTGCCGTCGTCAAAAGAGTCAGTAAACCGCTAGTGATGCATATTGAGCGTCACAATCAACACTCATCTCAGAGATACAGTAACATCGACTGTTGATAGAACGGGTCGCTCTCTGCGTTTTATTCGCCAGTTAAATCAAACAAAAGTGTCGCCGATAAATTTTCCAACGCCCCGATATTTATAACGTTATTTGGGTCTCTCATTCAGAAATCAAGGATAAACCTTCGTGTCAATATTTAGGCATAAAATGATCTACCGAGATCTACATACGGTGTGTCATGGGCCTCCGGTAGTCAAAAACAAGAATCTCTTTCTATTTGAGATTGCAGTTGTTTGATATACATGGATACAATTGACGAATAGTCTCCTTTATGCGGCACATCTTCGCATAACTTACCTTATATCCAACTACCAGAATGTTACTATACGTTTCAACGTTTCATTTGTTAGGTAGTAGTGGCTTTTTAGGTCCTACGCATTGAAAAAAAAGAGGAGCATGCCCCTGGTTTCTTAATTGGATTTGGTTTTAAGAAGCAATGACCGTTTCACATTTGAACGTGCCTTGTCTCAGGGCCCCCATGAGAGATGGCCCAAACGTTACCTGATGCAACGCAAGAATAACCTATTTTAGCCTTTAGGTCTCTCACAGAAGGGGGTTTCCCTCTGAACAAAACTGACAGAGTCTCTGAATGTCGAGTTTTGAATCATCTAAAAAAAGACTCTCGGGGCCCTGCTACTGCTACTACTGTTCTTAGTGGCCCCTTCTCTCCACGACCGGGTCCACGGTCTCTCTCTCGGGGGCATCTCCCTTTGGATCGTCCACGCCCCCCCACAAGGCCTGTTGATTTATATGTCTACAGGCAGTTTCCCACGCTTTGCCCATCGGGCCTATTTCTCACGAAGACCTCTTGTTTCTCTTCTCTTTCTTCTAATTATCGTTTCCCTCTGTTCTTTTGTCGATTCAACTTTTGCATATTCGCCATTTACCGCATGACTATCTAACTCTAACTTACATTCCCTGCCTCGCTATTTCTCCTAACACTATTGCCACTATGGGTCGCGTCGCTTTCTTGTCTCTGCGATTTTTGCAGCTGGTCTTGTCTGTCGCTAGTATCGGTTTGAGTGCATATGGTACGTTTCCTGCGATGGCCTCAACTGCATGGGTGGAAGAGAGGCTAACATTGTCCAAAGTTGTCCATGATTACGACCAGAGAAGTCGAGGCTCAGCGCCTTCGCCGTTTTCCTACCTCATGACCTCGTCCATTGTCTCGATCATCTCCGTCGTCTACCTCACCGTCGCTCCTCTTTACATCCCTCGTATCTACCACCAATACGCTGGAGTCGTTGTCGAGTCTGTCAACGCCGCTCTCTATTTCGCCGGGTTCATCGCCATTGCCGTCTTCATCGGGTCGCTTATCATGTGTGAGGGAACCGTTTGCTCGTGCGCTCGTGCCGATGCCGTTGTTGCTGCTGGACAGTTTACAGCGTGGATCACGACGACCGCCTTTACAGCCAAGGAGCTGTTCCAAAAGACTTTCCAGGAGCCCAAGAAGGATATCGACGGCCGGGAAATGGGACAGGCTTGAACAGGCATGACGGTACCCACACGAAAAACACAAAACATACAAAGGACTCGTATCTCCCAATGATGAACTAGATTCCAGGTATAGGAATGGAAGGGAATAGAGGAAAGGATTTTTACGACAGGCGTTTGGGCATATATTTTTCAGGGAAAGCACACTAGCAGTGCCGTTATCGATCGAATGGCCTGGCTATGCTGTTAAATGAGTATATTGGCGTGGATACCCGACCTCCTGTCTGAGATGGGAGCGTATTTATACATTGTGGGTAATTGGAAAGACTGGCGTTTTCTGCTCTATCATTTAATAGTCAGCTTTTATCATAGCTTGATCGATATACTTGAAAGCAACCAGAAGCTGGGCTGGACTGGCTTCTGCTTCATTCGACATCATGCTTGCTTTTCTCCATTTCCTTTGTGTAGACAAGAGTGTAGTGCGATAGTAGAGCCGAAGATCGGCGAGACTCGAGATCTGGTGTTATAGTAACATCGAGAGGAAGTGTAAATGTCGTACGACATGCCAGGTGAGGACCAGAGCAAACAGACGGGGCCTCGATCTGAGGTACTCGGCACCGGATGAACGGGCCGGTCGGTGGCTTCGAGCTTGTCATGCCTCTCGGTATCTTTTTAGGTCCTTCTTATGGTACGGCAATTGCACCATTAGACACGGGCTTTGGGTCACGGTGGAGACGGAAATGAAGATGGGTGTACAAGTCTTATCCGTAGTTACTCGTATAATTGAAGTGTTTCGAGGATAGTCAAATAAATAAATGCGAATCATGACCTTATGTAAGAAAGTAGTTTTGAATTATGTAGGTTGTAAGCGGCCATCTTATTATAAGATAGACATTCGTCGAAAGGCCAATTGCGTCTCATGTCATATTTTACATCTTTGTTCCTGGTCAGCCCCGCATATCAAAAACGTCCATTCATGATGCCCGCCTCAGTAACAACGGCGTTTTGTCAAACACAAATGTAAAGAATTCCGACCGAGATGGGCATAGCAAAGACGAAATAAACGGCAATCGGCGGTTCTCGGCTATAACACAGCATCAAAGCTCCAATACAAATGCAGCTGTCAAGAAAAGACGACGCTCCAGTCTGGGAAGTTGCAAAGTAGTCAAGGCCATGACAGCTCAACAGCGTGGGGAAGTGCAAATGGCGTGCTGCGCGGGGGTTCTTGGTCCATGCCCAAAGAGGCTTGGAATGTCTAAGTAACAGTCGAAGAAGATGAAGGTTGCTAGTAATATGTACCTTCCTCGGTATAGAATGGGATGGGATCATCTCTCATTACGGTGCAGGCCGAGGGCTATGAGCTAAGAGGGAAGGAAGAGGAGGAGGATTGGCAAAGTATAAAGAGGAAGGCTCGATCTGCAATACCTATAGACAGACACCTTCCTTCCTCTTTCTTGAATCCATAGACCTGAGTTCTCTCATTAGTACCTACCTAGGTACCTAATTCATTGTCTTTTTATCACCTTCCCTTCTATTGTCTTCATCATGTCAGAGGAACTGAGCAAGAACTTTGAGACACTTCAACTCCACGCGGGGTATGTTTGCCTCGGCTCCGATGACCGGCGTATTGCTCTTCTTTGCAGCTATCTCCAGAACAGCTGTAATTGACCGCAATACAACGTCTGGACATTTATTACGAGAATGACAATAAAACTGACTGAACTGTTCTAGTGCTGAGATTGATCCCACTACTCGTTCTCGAGGTGTACCAATCTACGCTACTACTGTATGTTTCCACGCAATGCCTTGAGCCATGAATTATTTACTAACAATGTTTCTAGAGCTATGTCTTCAATGACTCTGCCCAAGGCGCCAGACTCTTTGGTCTCAAGGAGTTTGGCAACATTTACAGCCGCATCATGAACGTCAGTTATCTTACTCAGATTGTTCTCCGAATAATCTCAAGCTAAAACCCCTCCAGCCAACAGTCGATGTCTTCGAGAAGAGAATAGCCGCTCTAGAAGGAGGTGTTGCTGCCCTCGCTGCCTCCTCAGGCCAAGCAGCTCAGTTTCTCGCCATCAGCACCCTCGCCCACGCTGGCGACAACATTGTCTCTACTTCTAACCTCTACGGTGGCACTTACAACCAGTTCAAGGTCTTCTTCCCTCGTCTGGGCATTAACACCAAGTTTGTCGACGGTGACAAGCCCGAGGATATTGCTGCTGCTATCGACGAGAAGACCAAGGCTGTTTACGTTGAGAGCATCGGTAACCCCAAGTACAACATTCCTGATCTTGAGGCTATTTCCAAGGCTGCTCACGAGAAGGGTGTTCCTGTCATTGTGAGTCACTCAACAGAGACTTCGATTTGCTCAACAAATTCTAATACATTGTTAGGTCGATAACACCTTTGGTGCTGGAGGTTACTTCATCCGACCCATCGACCATGGCGCTGATATTGTCGTCCACTCTGCTACCAAATGGATCGGCGGTCACGGTACTACCATCGGAGGTGTGGTCGTAGACTCTGGTAAGTTCGACTGGGGTAAGCACGCCGCTCGCTTCCCTCAGTTCCACGAGCCCTCTGAGGGTTACCACGGTCTCAAGTTCTACGAGACCTTCGGCAACATCACCTTCATCATCCGTGCTCGTGTCGAAATTCTCCGTGATCTCGGCTCGACCCTCAACCCGTTTGCTGCTCAGCAATTGCTCCTCGGTCTCGAGACTCTCAGTCTACGTGCCGAGCGACATGCCCAGAACGCCCTGGCTCTGGCACAGTATCTCGAGAAGAGCCCCTATGTCAGCTGGGTTTCCTACCCTGGTCTCGAGAGCCATCCTTACCACGAGACGGCTAAGAGATACCTGAAGAGGGGATTCGGCGGTGTCCTAAGCTTTGGTGTCAAGGGCGGTGGCGCTGGTAGTGAGGTCGTTGACGGCTTCAAGCTCATTTCTAACCTTGCCAATGTCGGTGATGCTAAGACATTGGCCATTCACCCCTGGAGTACTACCCACGAGCAGCTTTCTGACGACGAGAAGCGTAGATCCGGTGTCACCGAGGTATGTTGCCCTGTATCTCATCCGTATGTATTCATCTAACATTGAAAAGGATCTTATTCGAATTTCCGTTGGTATTGAGCACATTGATGATATCATTGCCGACTTCGAGCAGTCATTCAAGGCTGCTTCAGATACTACCACCAAGGGCGAAAAGAAGGAGGTTCCTGTCGGCGATAAGGAGGCTGAGGCCCCTCTTGCTCCTTGAGACTTGACATATATGCAGAAGGAGGAGAGGTTGAGGAATGAATTCGATGAAATACCCAATTAGGACTGAAGATGAATAAGACAGCGTGATTGTTATCAATGTACACCCGTTCGTGTCCCATATGTTAAGATCTCTGACGGCAAATTAGTAGTTTCTCTATATATAACGATACCGACGTAGTATACTATATCAGATTTCTAATAGTAAATCAGGAGAGCTACCTAGGTAAACAAGACAATAGCACGAAACGAGTACAGATGAAACATAGTACAGGTGGTATAGCATCAACCTCGTCGACGGGTATACCTACTTTGCGCGAGTTACAAAGCAGTATCACTTATATGTGATGGTAAAACAATAGCGGTATGAAGAGGAGGGAGGAACCTGGTGCGAGGCTCCTAAATTATACTTGTTTGGAGACGTCTTAAACATGGTCTTTTCGACTGATTTTATTGTGCCTTGGGTATACACATGAAAGTGACCGTGTATCATGGGTCAGAGTTACTCTAAAGGCTTGAGGGCTATGATAGGTGGAACTCTATCATCTTTTAGACGGGTGCCAACATATTCAAGTTTATATTCAATCCTATAAAACTCGACCAAGGAAGAGGAAGAGACAAATTTGTCACAAACCCACAAACCCTGTCTGTTTTGCATCCGGGCAAGGAACTCTTGTCTCTCGTGAAGAATCATGTGAGACCCAAACTCTTATCTCCCTCTGCCTATAGATACCTCCTATGTTTACCGTACTAAACCAAGGGTTATGAATACCGACTGGTCTATCAGGGGCAAAGTGATGTCCGTAGACAATCACTTGTGCGAAATTGTGACGTCACGTAGTCCAGAGCTTTGCTTTGTATTGGAGGTGAACTACCTATCAGTTCGTGCTAGAAGCCACGGTGTAATTAATTTACTGTACCTAGATCAGATCTGAAGCAATGCGACGTCATGATAAGATCCATCAAACAAGCTATTCGGTGATCTTCAGGGGTCCACTCAGGAAGGGAGACCAGACGACGTATTGGATTGCGTTGGATGCGCCATATATCACGGTACGAGCTCAGTCTCTCGAGTATATATATATATATATATAGTCGTAAGATCTCATTCAACTGCTAGTTGTAGTTAGTTCTCTCACCAACATATCGCTCTCAAAATGACAGTCACGGATAGGTCTACAGCTACAAAGCCTCCCACAGTTGTTCTCGACACTACCATCGCAGACCTCTACCGTCAAGGGGGAGCAGCCTACAAAGATAAACGAATCGGCCAAGTCCTCAGCGGTTTCAGCGCTCTCGTACCACTGAGTGACAAGATCTCTTGCAACCGCAAATACATCTACCAGGATAGCCCCTTTACGAGCAACAGCTGCGAACCACGCACCAAGAGCGAAGATACGACAACAGCTATAAAGTACCTCTCTCTCATTAACCAACGTGATGAATTTATCTGCGGTAATGCGCCGGTCGTATTCTTTCACATGGACACTTCGTCACGGAAGAGAGACCATGATCGGAAACAGGTCATGAAGACCCTAGCTACGTTGGTAAATCACCAACGTCCGCAGCCTATCTTCTGTGAGGGACCTGATTCCATTCCTACAAAGGAATCACAGATCGATCTTCTTGCCGTCAAAGTCATCGGCGACGATTTGGAAAAGTACAACAACGTCGTGCCCCTCGAGACGCACTGATTTCTCAACTCCAAACGCGCCCTGGCAGATTCTGGTCTTCCTACACAGAAATGCGTGGTCGTAACAGTCGATGGTTTTCCGGCAGATGCTCAGTCATGCTGCGCTACCTGTATAGGTAGTGGCCTCGGTGACTTTGTCATTCCTGATGAGTGCGCGGGTGCCAGAGGCACTTGGCTCAAAGAGCAGAGTCTGCGACTATACGAAGCTCTAAAGTCTCAACTCCTGCCATTCGTTCTGAAAAACCAAGCTACTTTTGGCGGTGCGGGAACCTTCATCGTAAAAACGGAACAGGAGCGACAGAACATAATCGACGACGATATGAGAAACGGGTTTCTGAATCGTCTCCTATCAGCTGTGAATGCGCGCAACTCGCACCTTGAGCCTGCGACGATGTTGCTATCAGATTTGGTGCAAGATCCTATCGGTGATTATGGAGTTACCTTCTTCGTCAATGAAAAGGGGAGTAAGCCGACGTTCTTGGGTGTTTCGAAACAGATGATAGAAGGCGGTACAGCATGGGTCGGAAGTATCATCGATTACCAGCAACAAACCAAACTTCACCACAAGTTCGAGGCATTGATGGACCGGATATCAGACTGGCTTCAGTCATATGGCTATATCGGTCCTGCAGGCGCAGACATCCTCGAAGATGCCAAAGGGTTCCATGTGGTTGATCTCAACGTGCGTACAACAGGGTCATGCTGTCTACCATTACTTCAAACGCACTTTACAAGTAGAGGACTTCATCTGGCTTCTGCGTTTTCTATCAATGTGCAGCAGGGGCGCAATGAGTTTCTGGACATGTTCAGAACTGAGATTTATGAGGGACGAATGTGTATCATGAGTTGGTATGAGGATCCAGAGACGAGGAGTAGCCTGGCGGAATTCGTTATCGGAGGAGAGAACGACAAAAGTTTAAAGGAGCTCATGGGTCGCGTTAGCGAGAACTCGAAGAGTGTGACGTTTTGACGATAATCTGGGAAATCGGTTTGGCGTACAGGGTAAGCTATAGAGTATGGTTCACATTTCGATTCTCAGAGCTATAGGGTAGGACTCTAGCTCTGTTCTATATCTCAGCATGAGATCTCATACTGAAATATGTATTTGGTTATTCTGTACAGTACAGATGGATGTAAGTGAAGGTTGATGGTGGTTGGTGGAACACGAGAAGGCGGGGGATCAACACAAAGGCGGCCGACCCTGGATGTTAGTGTCACAAGCTTGAAGCCACAAATGAGCTTATGAGAACAAATATAAGAGCATTCTTGAACGAGAAATCATAACGAAGAGAGGCAGAAGACTCTATTCTTGCTTATTAAATATCATTCATCGTTATATAAGAATGCGATAGCTTCCAATATCTCTGACCAGAAAGAGAATAGCTTACCATTCAAGCTTTAGCCAACCACCACAAGATAGATAGCTGCATGTACATGTGCATGTGCATCGGATGGCTGACTTAGTAATAGCCCAGTCAGCTCAGCTCTTCGTGCCTAAGCTGAAGCAAAAAGGTCAAAGACACTACAGGAGCTAAACCTCCTCCTCTTCCTCCTCACCCTCATTTTCAATCCCTCAAAAACCCAAGCCGAAGCAAAGGATGAATTGTAACGAGCTTCAGGAACACGCCAGAGCGGATTGCTTCCTTGTCAAGAAGCCAAGAGCATTACAATGGTTCTATAAAGGTCAACTTCAAAAGGAAAAGGAAGAAGAGCGTCAAGCAGGCCGCTTTGAGCTCTTCCTTGACCTTCTCTGTAAGTAAACTCACTCCATATACCAAGTCAATTGGTGCTCACTCTGTTCTTAGATGTTGCGATTGTCGCAAACTTCAGCGATGAACTCGCTGAGCATCCTGATGGCGCTCATCTTGCAAAGTACATACTCATCTTTGCACCAGCATGGCACATCTGGGCCGATCTTCGCGAGATCATGAACTCGTACTACACCGATGATATTCTGCAGCGCTTGGTCATTCTCTGGGTTATGGCACTTCTCGTACTTTATGCCAACAACGCCAATGACGCGGATGAGAACCTCTCAGCGATGCGCACAACTGTTGGAGCGTATCTTGTCGCTCGCTTCACCACCCTCGCTGTCTTCCTCATCACCTCGTTCGCAGCGTACCAGCATCGAACTCAAGCACGAATCATGGCCGGTTTCATGTTTGTTGGTCTGCTCATTACCGTTCCTCTGTTCGTAGAGGGTATCAGCATCCGGGCAAAAGCAGCCATCGTCGCTGTGGCCATATTCTACCAGGAAGCAACCTGGGCGCTTACTCTGAGCCCCTGGATCAAGGGCAAGCTGAACCTGACGTACAGTACGGCCGTTGATATTGCGCACGAGATTGACCGCATGGGCGCATTCTTCATCATCATCCTTGGCGAATTCGTGTATAGCATCATTGTTGGCAACAAAACAGGCATTGGTCTGACGTCTGGTTATGCCAAAGCTGTCTGCACATTGGTCATAGCGTTTGTGCTCAACTGGATCTACTCGAGCGGTGATGGTAGTATCCAAGCAACACATCCTATTCGGCGATCCGCTTGGACAGCCTTTGGCTTCTTTCTTCTCCATCTCCCGCTTGCAGCGTCGTTTCTAATCGGCGGTCACGTTGCAGCAGCTAGTACAGCAATAGAAGAGTTCGAAGACGGACAGCGCTGGCTTCTCGGCGGTGGTCTTGGAGTCGGCATGTTCTGTCTCTGGGTGTATGGGATGCTGTATCGAGTAGAAGGTGAGTGTACGCTGCTCATGGGTCAGACTCTACGGATCAGTATGAGACTGGTTATCGCCATCATCCTCATCGTGATACCCGAGTCGCATAATCACCTCAACGCCGAAGACTTTATGTTTGTTGTCATGGCTCTGTTTGCATTTCTCTTGATATGGGAGACTCTGGGGGGTTTGTCTAAGACGTCGAAGCTCTTTGAGCCTTGGACAGATAGACATCCGCCACCAGAGGAGGATGACAGAGAAGGCTTGGCTGGCCAGTAATTGGAATCGCCTGCCAAGATGTTTGGTGTATTTGTTTAACTCGTTAGGTTATGTTAGTGTTAGTGTTAATGGTGTTGAACCATTGGTAAATTGATAGTGGACCTAGGTACCTACTGCAGGACATCGATTGAGTTTGTAGCACCGCCACATGAGCCAATCGCCACAGATGCGCGTCACATGTGGCGCATGCTGTCGCTTTCCACGGCCTCCGTTCTTAGCTTTCATCATGACAATTTGTAATTTCGAACCAAAATGAATAACGGGAGGCAGCCGACGGATAAACGGTCCTCTTTGCGCCGCTTCTAAATCACACTCAAAGTGCTGTACTGTAGTCTATAGTGAGCTAGTCCTGGATCAGCAGTGCAGGCGCAAGCAGCTCCGAGCCTTGACCTGCAGCACTGGCCTGGCCCAACCAACCCCGGACGATCTTGGCGCATGTCACTCACTTTGTCCATCATTCGTTCTGCAGCTAAGAGAAGCAAGTCGGGTGTTTGCAGTTGACTAGAAGCATCCAAAGAATCAGTTTTACTCAGAGAGAACCAAAGATCGCTGAAAGATGAACAGGACATGTAATACCTTCTGTAGAATGCAAGGTACTAAAACAAAGTGGCTGTGCTATTCACAATGACAGCTGCTGCAACTGCAACTGCACCAATGGCGTCACCTGCGCTTCGCATTCGGGGGAGGGGCAACCAGGGTTTCGGGTAAGTACTTGCCCCTCCAGCTCCAGCTCCAAACCCAGTGTCATGCCTTCAAGTCGTCCGCGGGTGGCGTGGATTGTCCGGAAAAGAAGGGAAGCCGCGAAACACTCAAGGTCACAAGTGGCAGGTCCCAGTGCCAAGGGAAGAAACGTCAAGGCACTTAAATAGCACCTTATACCCCTCTTACTTAGCCTTAACTATCCTTAACTCTTGAATCTCGAATCGCATTTCCCCTCTTTGTCTTCCAAGTAACTGCTTATACATACAAGTTTACCTACTGTTTATACCCACCTGCTACATCATCGACTACCAACTTTTGATCCTCCGACCTACCACAAACATTTCGCACGACAGTATCGTTACACTCTAGACACAGCTATTTTTTAGATCGCATATATCTAAAACCTCACTTCGATGGACGATTTCGCTCCCCCAGCTGGTCCGCCTCCTCCCAAGGCCCCCGATGTCCCTGCCGGATGGGCCGCAAGATGGAACGAACAGTACAAGGAATGGTAAGAAATCACTTTCACCCGCCAGCGCATGCTCGTCGCTAATATTTGCGTCCCAGGTTCTATGTCAACATCTACACAAAACAATCCCAATGGGAAAAGCCCACTGCTCCTGTCTTCCCCAATGATGACGGCGCTCCCCCCGGCGCTCCTCCCGGATACGAACAAGGCAATGCGTCCGTAGTTACCGACACCAAGAAGAACCCCTATGAGGACGTTACAGCTGGCCCCGGAGGATCATCTCAGGATGAAGACGCCAAGCTGGCTGCTCGACTTCAAGCCGAAGAAGATGCGCGCGCGCGCAGTGGCCCTGGTGGCCCTGACGTCCCCGCTGGATACGGTGGCTCAAGTAGCCCGTATCCTCAACAACAGCAGCAAGGCGGCAGCAGTTACCCTTCAGAGCTCCCCCCTAGAGACCGGGGTGCTAAGAGCAGCGGTGGTGGTGGTTTCCTAGGGAAACTGATCGGCAAGGGCAAGCAAATGGCCGATAAGCGCCAGCAACAACAGGGAGGTTATGGCGGATCTCATGGTGGTGGTGGTATGGGTATGGGTGGTGGCTATCCTCAGCAGCAGTACTACCCGCAGCAATCTCATGGTGGCTACCCCGGTCACGGTCCCCCTATGGGCTACGGTGCTCAACCTCATTATGGTGGTGGTTACGGCGCACCGGGTGGATATGGCGGCTACGGAGGTGGTCCTGGATACGGTCCTCCAGGAGGCGGCTTCGGTGGTGGCATGGGAGGTGGCCGCAGACCGGGAGGTGGAGGAGGTATGGGCATGGCTGGAGGCGCCGCTCTCGGTGCCGGTGCCGGTCTGCTCGGTGGTGCTATGCTGGCGAACTCATTCGATAATGATGAGCAAGACGCTTACCAGGACGGTTTCCGTAAGTTTTTGAGCCAAACCCCATGTGAGACTGATACGCTAACTATCTATGCAGAGGACGGTGCCGATTTTGATGGTGGTGACGACGGCGGTGGTGATGATTAAACACCAGGCCACGCCTAGCAAGTTGCCCGAGAAAGGTGCTCGGGTTGATACCAGATTGGAATCAGGTCTGGTTACGCTTTATGACTTTTGCAATGATAAGGGACTGGGTAGTGGAAGAACACACGTGTCACACGTTGAGCTATCTTAGGTTTCGACTAGAATCTCAGGTTTGAGTTGAGGAAATAAATCAAATAATAATATCCATTGCTCAAAGCATACGATGCCGTGTCTCGTGATATTGCTTCTCTAGTGCTCACCAACGTGTCGTACAATACTCTGCCTTTTACCACCATTATATACTCTTCTGGCCATGTAGATTTATCGTGTCACACCCTGGTTCTTAGGGTTTCCGCCATTGTTGGGTGCATTGCCACTTTCCTTAGGCTTGGAACCAGCAAGGTACGCAGCCATATCAAAGTTGCTGAGGGGGTTTTCAGCTGAGGCCTGGCCGCTCATGACACTGTTCAGAGCGCTGTTCTTTCGCTGCTCCTCGAACTCGGCGCGCATCTCGGGATCCACTACGGGCTCTTGTTAGTATAATGTGACGGTGAGAACGGGAAAGAAGATAAAACATACTGCTGTCCATGAGCTTGGGCATGCCGACCATGAGACCCAGACTGACAACAGCCATGAGAATCATGGGGTTCTTGAGAATGGAAAAGACGGAAACTAGACTTGTCAGTGTCGCCGTTCAAAAGCTGATTCCTTTCGTCGCAAAGCAGACTCACATTGAGGTCTCTCCATAAAGTAGTTCTTCCCTCCAATGGCCCGAACCTCAAACCCACGTCCCTTACTTCCCTCCTTCACAGACACAACCTCGCCCTTGTTATTCCAATCATTGCCCCTGTAAGTCTCCCATGCGCGCACGATACCCTCCTCGCCACCCTCCTCAAGCTGCACATCGATCCTCAGCGGGTGGAACGCGTCGGTTGGACAGTGCACGTCGGCGAGGTACGATCCGGGCGTGACATTGTGGAAGACAAAAGTGTTGGCCGCAGACAGAGGAGCCGAGACATGCACGCCTGCCGAGGAGAGCGTAGCATGCGTCGAGGCGGGGAGGGTGAAAGGGTTGGGCTTTGCGGGGAGGTAGAGCGTTAGAGAGTCGGAGGCGAGAGCAGTAGGAAGAGCGAGGAGCGCAGCGAATAGTGCGCTTGTACCGAAAGGTGTGAAACGCATCTTGGAGGAATGGCGTGGAGGCGGTATAGGCTGAGGAGGAAGAGGAAGTGGACAACGGCGATGATGTAGGTTGATATTGGCAAGTTGTGACGTTTCTGGTGTTGAAGTGTAGAGACCAAGTGGGCCAATCAGAAGTGCTTGAGCTTCGGGTGTGGCTTGGAGATGATGCAGCCACAGTCAATATCAACCATTTTGCTATCAAGGTTCTGTATACCTGCTATGCATGTAGTAATTAAATGTTCTCAACAGCTACTGTAATATGTTCTAGTTCTAGAGAATGACACAGCTTGCTTAGAGCTTCATCGAAAGGAATGGCAAATATTTCTGGTAGGCTGTCCTGTTTCGGCTATCGTAACGTGTCTTGTCCAAGACAATATTTGTGAGACAATTCAAGGAGTCACCAAAACAGAGGCTCAAAAATGGCATGAAAAAGAGTGGCATAGACGCTCATCTAAATTACGCTCTTCTAAAAACTATTTATTTGGGTATCGAGTTCATCAAAGACGCATGAGTCCACTCCTTCGTTTCCCGTGATATGAATCAGACATTTCAGTTCATCCGGCGTCACAGATCGTATAACAAACACTTTTTTGGTTTCATCAGCAGCATTATCCCAGTTCAAATCCTTCGCTTAAGCCTCGGCAGTGCCGTTGGTGGCAGCGCTCTTCTCCTTGAGCTCCTTGACCTCAGCCTCGAGAGTCTTGACCTTCTCAAGGGCCTCGTCCTTCTCCTTGGTGGCAGTGGCAACAGCCTCCTTCTTCTCGCTCTGGATGGTCTTGACCTTCTCGAGAGCATTGCTGAAGGCAGATTGTGCTGTCTTGGTCTTCTCCTCGGCTGTGGTCTTCTCCTTCTCCAGAGTAGCAGCCTTCTCCTCAGCGGCCTTCTTCTCGGCCTCCAGGGATTCAACCTTCTGGGCAGCCTCCTCAGCCTTGGCGAACTTCTCCTTAAGCTCCTTAAGCTCGTCCTCAAGAGACTTTGTCTTGTCGGCGGACTCCTTCTTCTCGGCTTCGACGGCGGCCTGGGCGTCCTCAAGCTGCTTCTTCAGTTCAGCCTCGGAGTCCTGGGCCTTCTTTGCGTCAGCCTCAAGAGTGGCAACCTTGGCCTCGGCCTCCTTAGCCTTAGCAGCCTCAGCCTCAAGGCTCTCAACCTTGGCCTCAGCTTCCTCGACCTTGGTCTTCAGCTCGGCCTCAGCGTCCTGAGCCTTCTTGGCATCAGCTTCAAGGGCGGCAACCTTAGCCTCGGCCTCCTCAGCCTTAGTCTTGAGTGAAGACTCAGACTTCTGTGAGTTCTTGGCGCTGGATTCAAGATCAGCGATCTTGGACTCGAGTTCCTTCTTCTCCTGCGCGAATGTTAGCATACTGTGAAGAAGAGAGTTGTGTTATTTGCTTACCGTTTGCGAAGCGTTAAGGTCCTCCTCAGCCTTGGAGGCCTTGGATTGAGCATCCTCGATTTGCTTCTCGAGCTCGGCAAGCTTTGTTGACTTCTCGTTAAGCTCCTTCTCGATGGACTCGCGCTCTTCGGTGGCAGCCTTGAGCTTAGCCTCGGTCTCCTCCTGCTTCTGCTGGGATGTCTCGTGGTCGCCAGTGACGGCCTTGAGCTTCTCAGCCTGCTCGTCACGCTCCTTCTTGAGAGTCTCGTGCTCGTCAGTAGCAGACTTGAGCTTAGCCTCAAGGTCGGCGGCTTCCTGCTTAACCTTCTCCAGCTCAGCAGATGAGTCACCTTGAGCCTTGGTCAAGGCAGTGGTGTGCTCCTCAGCAAGCTTCTTCTGGGCCTCCTCTGAGGCAGTAAGATCCTTCTTGGCAGCCTCAAGGTCCTTGGTCAGATCATCATGGGTGCTCTGGAGAGAGCCGTGCTTCTCCTTCCACTCGGCAGCATCCTTCTGGGCGGCAATGAGCTCAGAGGAGGAGTCGCTCTTGAGAGACTCGTTGGTCTTCTCGAGTTCGGCAAACTTCTCCTTGAGCTCAGCAAGCTCCTGCTCAAGAGACTTGTTGGTCTCCTCAAGAGTGGCGTACTTGGTCTGGAGATCAGACAGTTCAGCCAGCTGCTTCTTGAGCTCAGACAACTCGTTCTCAGAGTCGGCCTTGTGCTTGTTGTGTGTTTCTTGGAGGGTGTTGTGCTTCTCCTCGGCCTCGGCGAGGTCCTTCTTCGCAGTGGCGATCTGGGAGTCGGACTGCTCCTTGAGGTTGTCGAGAGTCTCTTGGAGGGTGGCGTACTTCTCCTCGGCTCCGGCCAAAGCCTGCTTCTGCTCGTCGAGGGCAGTGACAGCGGCCTTGAGGTCTGTCTCAAGCTTGTCGTGGCTGGATTGTAGAGTCGTGAACTTGTCCTCGGTTCCGGTCAGAGCTTGCTTGCCCTGCTCGGCGGCGCTGGAAGCGGCAGCGAGCTCTTCCTCAAGCGTACTGTGGGCCTTGGTAAGAGTCTGGTGCTTCTCCTCAGCCTCAGAGATCTGGGTCTTGAGGGTAGCAATCTCCTTGGTCAGAGCAGCCTCGAGGGCCTCGCGGGCCTCCTTGGCCTCAGCAAGCTCAGCCTTGAGGCTGGCGAGCTCATCGGCAATGGATTGCCTCTCCTGCTCGAGACCCTTGAGCTTCTCTTCGGTGGCAGTCAGAGACGACTTGGCATCCTCGAGCTCCTGGGCGTTCTTCTCAGCGGACTCCTTGGTGGAACGAAGCTGCTCGGAGCTCGAGTCGCCACCCTTCTTCAGCTCATCCTGCAAGATGGCAATTCGGGCGTGGGTCTCGTCGAGAGCGAGAGAATTTTGTTTCTCGAGCTCCTTGATCTTTTCTCTCAGGTCCTCAGCATCCTGGGAAACTGTTGTGCACTCCTTCTCCTTCTTGGAGAGGTCTTCTTCGAGGACGGCGATGGTTTCTTCTCTATCGGCAAGTTGCTTCTCGAGAGCTTGTCGCGCTGCGACGGGGTCTTCACCGCTACTACTAGAGAATGCAGAGACAACGCCGCCCATATCGAATCAGTAATGGGGTATGTGGGGTGTTGGGAGGAGGGGAATTGAGGTTGATAGAGGGGAAGAGAGGGGAAGAGAGAGAGAAAGGAAAATAGTCGATGGGTTTGAGGGAATCTCAAAAATTTTAGGGAAAAAAAGAGGCAAGAGGTTGGTTCAGACCGGGTCCAGGTTGCAGATGCCGTTGTTCAAGTATGAAATTGAGCTTGGAGGAGCAAGTCAGAGCAAGAGCACGAGCAGGTGCAGGTGCATGTGCAGTAGCGGCAGCGGCTACGGAGACGAGGATGGAGACAAAAAAAAAATCGTATCAGGCCCCAGACCCACGCGATACCGTCCATACCTACCAAAATCAGAACTCGACCCAATCTAACCAACCAAGTTATCCGTGCCTAGGTAAGTAGGTAGGCACAGTACTCCGTAGACAGCTCAACTTCCCGTCCCTCCCGTTCGTTATTCAGGCCGTCGCCTCGGTGATAAAATGAGTGAATGAATGGTTGGGCCGTTAATCACTGCCCGCACTAGGTACTATGTATGCTATGCTATGCTCCGGTCATCTCTGTCTGATCCATTCTTCAATTTCAATTTCACGCAGATACTAAGAAATTTAAAGTACCTGCTACATAAAGATGCCAAGCTACACTACAATTGACGGCCTTACCGCACTTTAGCATGGGATCTTTCGGGTCTGAATCGTTGGTGTCGTCCAATATCAAAGCAGCTTTTTTGTAGTTTGGTGGGGTGGTTTATGAACGACATATCACCCCGGTCTAGTCCAGTCAGTATCCGTACAAAGCTCAAAATTTCCAACGACATCTCTCTTTGAATGTGGTCATGGTGGGTGGACTTGGACGCGGTCATGATGTGGCATGCTTTACCGCCTATCATTTTTTATAACAAATCTCGCATTGTTTTCTTTTTGCATTGCTGGCATGCCACTACTGTAGGTACTCACTGTATGACTGACTGACTGACTCTTTTTTTTTTCTTGAAGCCCAATTCTTTTCCCCTCCTCTCCCCTCATCTCGCCCATGTCAAGTAAAGACCCAACCCCTCATGAGCATGGAATATGGATGGTCCGTCCTCAACATCCATGGATGCTCATGGTCATGCTCATGGTCCCGCCCAATCTACTAACATCTAATAACCCATAACACCTGCGCTAAGTTACCTATGTATTGCCCGACTCGTGAGCCCCGACCTCTTTCTTTCATGCATGCATACATAAAGTACATTGCACGGATGTTTATTGTTTACCTACAGATCCTGTACTGTTGTCGTCATTATCACTTGCATTGCCAGGACCCTGTGGTCCTTTCACATGCCTTGCCTGCATGTCCATGTCGATGCAACTGAAACAGAAAAAATAACGAAAATTGAGACAAATGTCCAACGGCTGTACTGAAACATTGCCTGCAGCTTGCTATGCTGTTCATGCATATGGCTATAATTATATATACCGTGTCTCATGCTCGCTCCCGTAAAATTCTGACTCACTTTTTGCCCTTTTACCATTTCCATTCCAATGCAGTCCATCCTGTTCCTTTTTCCTATCCCCGTTTCCGTCCTTGTTCTTTTCAAGTCTCAGCGCCAGCTGTTGGTCATCAGCTTCACCGTCAAGTGACCCCAGTTTATGCTAATCAAGCTGGGGCCTCCTAATGCTTTTTTGGTCCGCCCAAGACTCCATGCATTCATTATCTTCCACGGACATGTCAACTTATGTGCCATGCCACTTCAAAACTATATATAGTACAGTCAAGCAATGTCATTACCATCATGAGAGGGGAGTGTGAGTTGTGCAGTTGTGTGGGTAGGTCGCAATGGGAATCTCTTGACCACCCAACAAAGAGTAGTGTCTAAACCTGACAACAGCGTTCAGGATCGAGGTTGCCGAAGGTTCCCATTCTCAGGGAAAACCTGAAAGTATTCCACATCTTCTGTGCGGCGTGCAGTCTCCATTTCTGAAGGTGCGCATGTAAGAGACTTGTGGTTGTTATCGTTCGGCATATGCAGAATGATCCTTCCTGAAAACGCTGGTGCTCATCTAAAGGTAGCGCGGAATGGACCCTCGATCTTGATGTCTTTAATGCCTTCAGGCATTAGCCGTAACCATTCGTTCCAACTTTCGAGATCAACATTGTCGTCGTCGAGTCGGATCGACAGATGCAGCTGCGGGCTATTCTCGTACGACGAGAAACTACTCCGCATTGGGCTGTTTTCATATATAGGCGATAGGAAGATCGAGGGAAGCCTAGAGTTTCCAGACATCATCATATGCAGTGGAGATGGGAAACTGGTCAAAATTTCCTTCTCTGGAAACCTATCCTGTACCATTTTAGAGTAGTGGGAAAACAGATTTGCATGCAGCTCAGCAGCCGACAGAGGGCTCAAGCGTGTCGCTCTGACTCGCAGTTGTTCAGCTAATGCGCGTGTAAACGCGCAGCGATCGAGGTCATAGAAGTGATCTTCCGACACTGATGCTGCAAGAAGCTCCAAGACGCCCTGCTGGCGGATCATCCTGGTTGACGGGTAATAGGCTGCATCCATAATGATCAAAGTATCTGCACAAGCTTCTTCCAAAGTTTGTTGAATACCGCCCCATCGGATTGTCGAAGCTTGTTCGGGATCCCGAGAACTAGCAAGTCAGCAAAATACTGTGGCAGGATCAGAGTTGAAGCGCTTACCTGGCCAAAGCCATCTCACGGTTGCTATCGAGGTACGTGTGTCCGGCGTAGTATACTATCTTCAAAACATCACGCTCATCACGATCCTCAACAAATTCGTTCAACTGTCTTGAGAGCCACCGCCACGAGCTCTTGCAGCCATCAGACGAGGACGGAATGGCTTGAACTTGAAAGTTGTAACGATAGTATTTATCAAACACTTCGGCAAGTTCCCGAACGGCGGACTGAATCGTAGGAACCTCCTCATCGTCTTGCCAAAACAGGAACAGAACTTGCACGGCGCTATATCGATCTCGACTAGGTGTGGAAAGCATGCGTCCCACGTTGGTCTGGAGATCATTCTTGAAACTCTCAATTCCAGGTAATGACAAAGACTTCTCGAGGCGGGGGCCTGAGGGCAATGGGGTTCGGATTCGAGCGTCGCTTAATGGAGGTCGGCCAGGCTGATTCGAACCAGGAGTACCAGAATCGATTTCCATTTCCTGTGTGTCGTGCGTGAACAAGGACTGTACGTTAGTGATGGCAGCAGGGCTCAGTGGCCGCCCAGCAGCGGCGAGCGAAGGTGCAATATCCTGAATGGTTGGGCTGTGCGATCGATGGAATTTGGAAACGACATCCTCCCAAGTCATGTTGTGATGACTGGGATGGCACTGCAGTAATGAGAGTGTTGGTATATGAGTCTGTTGGTAAGGAATCGAGGTGTGACATGACTTACAGCAACTCTTCGCCTTCTGCAGTCGATGCATGCACCGAGCTTTCGAATGAGTGCAGCACGCTCTCTGGACTGTTGAGAAAGGGGTCCGGTCCGCCTCCTGCTCGTGCGGCGGTTGTTAGAGACGTCGGAGCCATCCTTTATAGAGAAAATGGACTGGTGCAAGTTAGGAGAGGTATCGGCACTGTACGATGTGTTATTGGTCTCTGTGGAGGCCAAGGTGGCGGTAGTCGCCTGGGTTGAGATTGAAGAACATGTGTCCTTTCTCAGGGGCGGCGTAACAGGATGGATGTGGTGGTGATTATGGTGGTGGTGGTTTTGTTGCTGTTGCTGTTGATGCTGCTCGAATGTGTAGTGCGCCGGCGAGGTGGGCGACGGTTGGCGAAGCGGGGGAAGCTCATCTGGATTTTGTGGAAGCGAATGGGCGGGCACAGATGCGACAGCTGTTGCAGCTGCTAGAACCGCGGGCAGCGATGCGGACTGAGCAGAGGGTGAAGAAATCGAAGGTAAAGAAGGCGTCGGGGCGGTTTCGGATGCGGAAGTCGGTTGCGAAGGTGATGGAGAGGGCGGAGGCTGTGGTTGCTGGTGTTGGTTGATGGATGAAGTTGTGGCAGTTGGAGAAGCCTCGGCCATGCTGTGGGCGACGGAATTCATATTGTTAAGAGAACTGCAATCGGCGCTGGAGAGGAATCAAACGCCCATTATCTCAAAAAAGTGTTGAAGGGAGCAACGCAATTTGCAGCTGTCAGAATAGCTTGCCAAAAGTCCAAATGCTCAACAGCAGAATATGTGGTAGGTTGTCGTTGCTAGACTATCGTGCCCAGATCTTAATCGTGTAGGCGCAAGCGCAAGTATAAGGCAGACAGACTGCGAATGCGATGGGTTTACTGATGTATTGCGCGCGTGGGTGTACTGAATATATAGCGGCGTTGATCCACCACGAGGTTCTTATAACTCCAAGGATTAGAGTTGAAAGCAGAGCGGGTTATTGCTGCAGCTTTGCAGCCACACACTGAACTGGCTTTGGGCGTTCTGAGCAGGGTTTGAAGTACAAGCTGTGTGCCGAGTATGGAGTGAGAGATGGACGTCCAAAGAGGGCCTTCTCAACGGTATGTTCTAAATCGGTAAGGCGGAATGATACGCCCTGGGGCGAATCGAGGGAGGCAACAATGAGTAAATAGGAACAGCAGACAATTCAATTGATTGTAGCCGAGTCCAGTGAGGTGATGCAACTAGGCAACGAGTAGAGAGTATGGGGATACGGAACGGCAATAGTAATGGTCCAATGAGGTTAAAGCCGACAACAGCTTAACAACTGGAGCTTGAATCAAAAGAACAACTGAGCTGGTATTGCGGTGGATGAGTACTGGCGAAGAGCAAGTTGATTTCTTGCGACCTAGAAACGCGTAGTTTCGGTTCCCGGTTTGTGGTAGTTGAAGAAGGCCTGATCGGATCAAGGGTTATGGAGGACGAGACGGAAGTCGTATATACGAAGAGCCGGCCTATGATGTAGGCGCGACCAAAAGATGGTTTTAAATCTGGGAATGGTCTGCAAGGTAAGTAGAAGAGTAACGGTAGAGACAACGAGAGCGAATCAAGGTCTTGACGATGGAGATACGAATTGATTGAGAGAAGAGATACAAGAGAGACAAGAAAGGTCAAGTTTATGCCATGGAAAGAGACCGAGAGTGTTCCGTCGTCGCGAAGACCGACCTGAGGTGAACGGAGTGGCGTGGAGAGGAATCGTCGAAGAAGGGCGTGAGCAAAAGGTGTCGTAAGTTTGCAGCCAATCAGAGTGTATTTCGGTGAGTCTTACAGCGTGAGAGTGGGAAGGGAGGGGGGCGTGAGCGGGAGCAATCTCTGGGTCCTGCACGGCGGAGAGGAGCGCTGTTGGTGAAATTGAAAATGCCCGCCAGAGGGGAAGTGGATTTTCCCCGGAAGCCCAGGTCAGGTAAGCCTGTAAGGCAAGGTCGGGTACCGTCTAGTACTGCGCAGGTAACTTTGTGCGGCAATTCCATAGAAATGGTACCTGAGTCCAGAATCAGGGACCGGCCCGGGAATCGTACTTTAAGGACATGAAATGGGGTAAAATGGCATGACTTGCTGTGTGATTGCAGTAGGTACCTCAGTACTCATTGGCAGGTGGAGGTCAAGTCTCGATCTGGGACCTGATTTCAAGGTCAGTGGAGGTGGACAGCAGCCAGACTGGTGGGCGATACCGAACATGAACAGGAAATTGAATACCTATCCCACGATTCTCAACGGGGTGAGAGAGAAATTTATGATATTGTTGGGATGTCTTAATAAACTGTGTCAGAAGTGATGATTTCCTTGATTGAGAGGTTTGAAACATCCAACCACATTGCTGAACTCATACTGGCGATAGCAAGTCTTCCGTGGGATGAAGTTCATGGAGCAAGACAAGGTGAGACGAATTCGGCTAGGCTCAATTGCAAATCCCGGCCGAGGTGGGCCGTCGACCGTACCTTCCTTGGCCTTTATCTTCCACGCACGGCAGCCGTCGGTTCGGGTGCCCCCAAAGTCGCAGCACCTTGTACTGTCATTACCGGCTGCGCGTTATGACAAAAGAAAAACTTGAGTCTGGACCCAATCGCCAGAACCATGGATGATCCAATTAATCAACTCTACAGTAATTACATCTCGCTAGTCTAATCAAGGTGATGCCAAAAGGAAGGTTAGATGTCCCGTTCGTGAAGCGCGGCTCCGGCGGCAGGTGTTGACCCTTGCTTGTCTGTGCTGTGCAGAGCTGTACGGTACCTTCCATGGATGTTAATTCTATCTATAACGTGACAACTGAGTCCCTTGTTCCTGCCGTTAGGTCTAGCATCAATGAACTGGCAAGGACTTTCCTCGGCATTGCTTGCTTCTTTGGAAGTATGGAGTGCCATTACACACGCAACTTTATCCCCATCTCTCCACTTCGGATTCAATCTTCTTCCAAACGACTGGATCCTTTTCTGAAATGATCCATCTAAATATGTCGATTTCAACTGCATATAATCAATCCACTGATTTTCAGTTCGCGAGAGAAATCGAACGAGGGCGATATCGGGATACTCAAAAGTCAGATCTCGTACGGTTGCGGGTTTTCCCAGTCAATTACAAACTCACTTTCGGTCACCAAACTTTTCAGATCATCTAAAAGATCGGCTGCAGCGAAGTCTATCTGCCAGACGACTGGTCATTACACCCGTATCACTTCGTTGAGAATAAACACAGGTAACTCAGTATAAGTACCAACACATCTTTCATCATTGACCAAAGCAGCGTCGGTCAGACATCCAAGTCTACACCTAAGAAGCAAACAAACTGCTAAAGCAGTGGACTACAGCTTCAAGGTTGCACAGCCTATGTACACCCAGGACTACGGGCTGATGGATGTCTTAACCCTGTTCGTCGCATGGCATGCCATGCTTACAGCCCATGGCACCCTGTGAAAGAATCCGTGCAAGGACCCATCCAGTATTTTCCTGCTCGAGGTTTGACCGGAAGTGCAACACCGAGCACAGATACACTCCAACGTCACAAGCTTTCTGGACGTGGGTTCTCTGTCACGTTTTTATGACTACATCACTTTACTACATGCAAGGAGCCAACACCTCTTCTCTATTCTCTCTCAAGGATCGCGGGCCACATCGTTCTCATCGATCTGTTGGATCCCACAGTCTACGAGCTCACCCGCAATGTACGTCCTCTTGTGTTTGTGACCGGGACTTGTCGTCGGCCGGTGCTTGTACCCTGCAGCCAGCTCATTGGCAGCTGCAACCCGGATTGGCCACGGTAAATGATATTGGATATGCATTCCAAAGACTCTTCTATGAAGGACATCATTTGTTGGGGTTTCCAGCCGGCATGATCGTTCGCCTTGTCCTGTGCTGTTCGTGAAGGGGGCACCTTTGGCACAGTCGACCAGTAACCGCCACAAGTTACTGGTTGCATCCCGAGTATCTTGGACGCCAATAATTTGCTCGATTTGAAGACTGCAAGCATCCTTGATGGTACCACAATATTGGTACATCTCGACCAGGTCAGTCTTGTCAGCGTTGCAGAGCCAGGAAGACAATTGATTCATTAGGTGTTCTTTCACTGCACAAACATGGAAGAGAATAGCCGAGAATTGCTTGTGTAGCATGTGCTTCTATCTCTCAACAAGAATTTTGGACAAAAAGTTCAATGGCATCACGAATTGACGCCGCTACAATAAAGCACTTAATATATATCAGAGACCAGCTTGACGCACTTACCACCACCCTGCGGTTGCGCCATCAAAGTTAGCTGTCTCTGATCGTCCCCATACGTCAGGGGTTGACAGTGCGCTTCTTGTTCCATAGGCGCGCCTGGAATAACGTACGTACAGCAATTTAGAAGGAAACAAAAACCGCTCAAAATTGGGCATTGTCGTTCATTCTCCACCCTACCACCAAACCCCATCATAGCTCGGTGAGAAGGATGTACGGCTCCGTACCATGAACCCGTTCGGCTCTGACCTCGGGAAGAGAAAAGAAACGAACCTTGCCAGTACCTAGATTGTGATGGTCCAATTCTTTATACGGCATACACATCGTGGAGTATGTACAACAGAATTGTTGAGTATTCGAAGCATGAATTAATGGCTCTATTTCAAGCAAGATGGACAGTTGCTCTAAAACGACGGCGATTGAATTCCGCTCGTATGAACTGTACAGTACAGACTTGAAGCTTTCGGCTTCACAAGTCATGACACTCAATCAGCTCACCTCATTCTCACCCCAGGATTTGCCAAAGGAAGAAAGCATCGGCAACTGGGGACCTACATGCCAAGAGTTCCACCATTAAGATCAGGGGTCCTCACTGGCCAGATCAGGGAAAGTTCTCTGCTCACTCTGCTTCTTTTCTCATGCTGAAGCTCATCAGCCGGACCAATTCGGAGGCATGTTGCAACAGATTCACCGAGGTCAACTTAGATACCAATCACCACAATAAGCTAGCACCTCTTGTTGCAGATTGCAATTTAGTTTGGCTAATATTATAATGGGAGTAACAATTAAGCATAGTTGTGAAGATGCATACTGTATTTTTTGGTCGTGATATACCAATTCATACATGCTTTGGCGATAATCACAAGCATTGCTGCCTCAGCATTCCTGTGTACTTTACAGCAGTGCAGCATGGCAAGAGGGTGTTGTGTACAGTGTACATGCACACCAAATTTTCCATGACCCCAGTCAAGCCTGGTGCCGGGTCTTCACCGAGATCCCTTCGTGAGACATCACCAGATCTGATCCACCCTGTGGTTCTCTCTGTTGGCCCAAGCTCGACAACTTTGATTAATCTACACCATGTACGGATACATCTTTGACATTCGAGTCGACGTAACTCTCAGTTCGGTACGTATCGTCATTGCCATCGACCAATCAGTGCTTCAATCTCCACCGATGAAGTTGGACTTTTCACCGACACAAGGCGTCTTCAGCCGACGGAGATAGAATAACAGACCGGGCCTGCTGTGTTCCTGCTTCCCAAAGGCGTACTTGATTAAACCCAAAGAGCACGTATCGTTTACAAAGCAATCTGCATAGCACGCTGCAGACCTCTCACACCTTGTACCAACACTGTAGACCACACTTGGTGAACCCGAGCATATCGGTTCCAGGCTCCGGACTGGTCTCCGGCAGCGGCCTCCGATCATCGAGGAAGACTTGCCGTACTGGGGCCAAGACCCATACGGGATTGGGCCATTTTTGGGGCTTTATCGGGCTACCGTGGGCCGAGAAGACCGTCCTGGTGCCGTTCTCTGGAGGGTCCATGGTAGGCTTGATGGCGGTGTGTTTGCTCTGACAGACCGCGTACCTACTGTAGATCTAGCCAACTTTTCACTCTATGCAGACATATCTCAGATACGATCTTGAAAGCAGCGCTCTTCACTCAAATTGCAACCTACAGTCCACATCGGCATTGTGATGTGGTATAAGTCAATCGGCGGTCATTTTATAATATGCCGCTCATGTGATCTTTGCTACTCTTCCTTTGCCAAGCCTGCTCAACCTTCTCCAGACTTCGTGTTGTACATTGGTACATTTTCTTGGAGTACAATATAGCAGCGTAGCATATCTTAGAAAGTGATTGATTCAGACGAACGTTCATATGTTCTGTTCTACATGGGCATTTCTTGGTCATATCCCGATGTTATAATAGCCAACACCAAAACCAGAGAGAAAAAATACCCTAACGATAATGCAAGGATTTTGATACATATTAAATAAACACAATCACCACTTCTGACCTTTTGTCCATGGTGAGCTTTGAAACTTGCCTTTAGCATCTCGAGTTGTTCCAATCTCGTCACGTTTGTCGTCAACCAATCTTGCCCATTCGAGCATCAACCTGAAGAGATATACTTCCATATCCTTCTCGCCAAGCGCTTCTTTCGCCCATTTAGAACCCTGCTGAGCGATCCATGCTCCATCCTTCGTCTGCCCTTTCATGTCTGTATCGCGCCCGTTGATGTTCGCTTTCTTGTGCGTGCCTGTAAAGTACGTCAAGGTGGTGTGTAAACCCTGATAACGTGTGTCGATGGGTACAAAATGTAGCCAGGGAATCAGGCGATCGCTGTACCACGTCCGGAAGAGGGTGGAGATGAGAGGCACACTCTTTGAGCGGAGCACGCGAAGGAGGTCGGGCGAGGGTCCGTTGTCCTGGTCCAAGAGAAGGATGTATCGGTATTCGAGAGGTTCTTGATCCTTAGATTCGTCGACAACGGGATATGTTTGACGGAGGAGCTCGCAGTTGGGGCCTTGGCAGCCTGTGTAGTCCTTCATGCCAACACTTGTAGGCACGACAAGATTTGCTTCAGCGATAGGGACCTTTTCATGTTGATATGCGTTCGGATCATTGGCTGATGGGAGAATCATCGAGATCTTGTCTTTTGGATTTCGGTTACCCAACATATGAAGGAGTCGAAACTTGTGATTACCGCGCAGAGCTTGGTCTGATATGTATTCGTTGCCAGTTTGACCTCGCCAGAACATGGAATCATATCGACGGTCAAAGTTCCAACTAATGTCGGTCTTACCGTCATCTGGCTGTGGGAGAGGAATCAAGATGTCCTGAAAAGGCTCCGACTTTGATGGTCCGAACAGGGGTAGCAGGTCCCGAATGGGCTCTGCGTGAGGACTGGAAAGGGACATTCCATGAAGGTACTTGAGATCAGGCTGAGCGCAATATTCCATAGACCTTTCCCACTTAACCATTATCTGCGCTTTTGAATGTCTTCGCACGCAGTCGGCACAAAACTCGCCAATGTTCCAATGAGGGTTGGTTCGTGTCCGTGAGCCAGGAGGGCATGCTTCAACCTGCATCTGGCGATAGTTGGCTAGGGATATCATGGAAGATTGGTCCGTCTGAGGAGATTTGGGCAAGGCAGGTAATGGCTTCGGGACAGGGGTTTCTGCCGGCTTCACTTCACTGCCTTTATCGGCGCCATCTCCCTCAATGGATCTCTTCGAAATGAGATTAACGATGGGGGTCAGATCAGCTCGGTTCTGCCCATTGGCAGTTTCCCATGTTGGTAGAATTCGCGGTGTAATACCCAGATTGACTGGGAAGAGCATATCGGGTAGGAATTTCGAAAATTTGCTTATGGAGGCCACCAAACCATCCAATAACTCTGCATCATGTCCGGTAACTTCGGGCAGTCTCGATGCGTTGCCATCTTTGATGCCAATGACATGAACACCAGGAATTTGGGACACCAGTGACGTGCGTTGCCGCAACTTTTGTGGTGGGATGGCTTTGAACGGAGCCAAATCTCGGTCAATTTGATCGAATCGGTCAATCACCGCGGTGTTCTTGGCTAGTTCATACCAGTCTGCAAACGCCGGAGGAGGGTCTTGGCCATCGTGACGCTCCTTGTATATCTTGTGCGCAATGGGAAGACTGTTGCTTGTGGTTGCCTCCTGCATCCAGCGAGACTGCCTAATGTTCGCTCTATATATGAAGTCATTGATAGGGTGGCGCACAAAGGTCTGAGGTTCTGTTTTGGCAATGAACACAGTAGTGCCCATGACAAGACCAACAAGGAGAGCCAGAAGCACAAAGCGTTGGATGAATACAACGGAGCGTATGCCGTGCGTGTAGGTAAAAAATATCATGCCAAATGCAATCATGTAGAGCGGCGTAATCTCAGGGAGTCGCTTGGGGTGGATGTAGTCTCCATACTGGAAGATATTCTGACAAGCCTTAGCAGTTCCTACAAGAAATGTGATGGTACTGGCTGGTATGAGCGGCGCTGTCTCGCATACCCAGAAAGAGGCTGATATCATAAGAGCTGCGAATGCAACACTGTCGACAATGATGTCGAAGCCGTACAAGAAGCCAAAACCAGCATGTAACACGGAAGAGCCTCGAGAAATTCGGCTTCCGATCCACACAAGGCCCATTGACAATGATGAAAGGGTCAGAACTGTTCCCAGAGTTCGTAGACGAAGCTTAGCGGTTCGAGACCAGGCCAGCAAACGCCAGAGGAGGACCACGATGATGAGATCGAGCATAAGTCCAGTACACTGCAAAGCCAGAGTTGTTCGCTTGCTCTCGACGAGTTCGAAACAATAATAAGTAGACCGTGTGATCCGACTGATGGCGTAGTAGGTGCCTGTAGAGAATATCATGAGGCTGGATACTGCCAGAGTAAGCATAACTCTGGGTCCACTGAACCAGTCAACCAAGTCGTCAAAGCATGAACGCCATGGATCATCTGGATCCTCAGGAGGCGGAACTCCCCATTTCTTTCGAGCTGTGAAGATTTCATATGCGAAGAACAGGACGCAGAGGAATGACTGAATAGTTGTCAGCTTTCATGCTATGCTTTGATAGATTAGACTCACCTCAAGACCTGGAGTTGCGCATTGTTGCTGATAGTTTACACGGTGAAAGACCTCAAGCCTTAGAACGATACACAGAATAAGGACAGGAAGTGATAGTCTTCGTGGCCTTCCTGGTAGATGAGTGTTCTCGCTTTTGGCAGCATCAGGTACACCGTCAAGTAGGGAACCTTGGCGACGATGTGTCGTGAAACGTCCATCTGCGCCAGGAAACCACTTGGTGATGCAACTGACTCCGTAACAAACTAGACCAGATAGAAGAAATACGAGAAATGAGGAAAGTCTCGGGCTCTCTGGACGTGACCTCGTATTAGTTGCTGGGGACCTGCATGAGAAAGAGTAAGTTGAACTAACCGGTTAGAGAATGACGCTCAAAGGTTTGAGATATGTAAAAGAACGAAGAGACGGCACTATCAATTATGTTAATGTTCAGGACTCTAGATTTAATTGACGAGTAGAGGATGAAAAGCGTACCATAGCGCAAATAATTGAACCACCGCATCGCCAGCCATGATGATGGTTGATAGTGGCTCTCAAGACCAAGATAGAGTGAAACAATGAATATAAAAGGTCAAGGAAGCCTCCAAATTACTCATGACATCGCAATAATAAAAGTGTTTTTGGAACAAGCGTTAATCTGATATAAACTTCAAGGCCAGCTCATGTCGTCCTCGTCCTCTTCAAAGTCATGATAAAGAAAAAGAAGCTTAAAGCTAGAATTGGAAGTAGAAAACCCCCCTGCTCGATTTTTAGTTGATATTAGGGGACAGGATGACGACTCTTTTCTTCCACCCCTGAAAATTACCTAAGCTGACGTTTATTCGCTGGCCCTTCTATTTACAGCGTCTTAAAACGGAACGGTCCACTATCTCTTAGGGGTCCCCTCCCTCGATAACGATTTAACTTCCACTAGTTGTCACAATAAACTTCCAATTCCATCCAATGTGATGGATTCATTCTAACACTTTGAACGCCTCACTAACAGCATGGCCGGCCTCAACGACGTGCCCTTCATCAAGGGCCTTGCCGTGCCCTCTGTTTGTTCTCTTATAATCTTTCTCGCCTACTTCTCCCAATTCCTATTCCATTACTCGACCACTCTCGAACCCGGTCCTCCCTCACGTCGCGAAACTATCACCTTCAACAGCCTCCTCCTTATCTTATGGATAACCTACTACCGCGCCGTTACCACCGATCCGGGCCGTTATATATTTAAAGACCGTGTTATTGAGGCCGATGGTCAGCGCTGGTGTAACAAATGTGCGGCTCCCAAGCCTCCCAGGGCGCATCATTGTCGCCATTGTGCGAGATGCGTGCCCAAGATGGACCATCACTGTCCCTGGACGAGGAACTGCGTATCTATGACCACGTTTCCGCATTTTATGCGCTTCCTCGTCTACACGAACATGTCGTTGTGGATGCTGGGTTACTTCCTATGGCAGCGCTTCGCTAAAATATGGGAACACCGTCGTCTGCCGGCCTATTTGGGCCCCAGTCTCTCTGGACTAATCTGCCTGTCTCTTATTGCCATCGTCAACTTTGTTACTACTGTGGCTTTGGGCATCATGCTCATTAACACTGTTAGATCATGGGTCTTCAACCAAACCATGATCGAGGGCTGGGAGCAAGAGCGTCATGAGGCTCTGATGGATAAGGGCCCTAAGGAGTGGTGGGATATAATGGGTCCTGATGGCGAGAAAGTTCGATTCGAGAGACTTGAGTTTCCTTACGATATCGGTTTCTTTTCCAACATGGCTCAAGCGATGGGCACCCGTAACGTCCTCTGGTGGTTCTTCCCCTTTGCTGGGAATCCTACCATCGCTAAGGACGGTGAAGGCTCGGGCTGGACATGGGAAGAGAACGGCTTTAACCGCATCGAAGGTCTTTGGCCACCACCGGACCCAGACAAGCTCCGTAGAGCTGCGCGAGGCTGGCCTGCTGGAAACCGCAACTACGCTGAGGAATTGCGCCAAGTAAACATGAGCTCCAGCGAGTACAAGGCCGAGTTTCTCAAGCGCCAGGCCGACGATGAGAAGCGCAAGAGACACCTTATGGCGGAGCTAGAAGAAGTTGACGATTTCGACATGTACGATGATGAAGAGTATGATCGCGATTTTAACGAAGGACTTGGATGGGTAAACTCGGACGGCGATCGGCTACGAGACTATGGCGTTGATGAAGAGGAGTCGGCAGCTGAAGAAGCAGACGACGATGTGCCATTAGCCGAGCTGATACGACGAAGAAAGGTGCTACAAAAGGACGGTTCAGAAGATTAATGATAGAAACTATATAGCGCATAAAGTTTTTGGTTAAATAAAAAAGCATTTATTCCTTCTAAAAAATCTGTAATGTTCTGGCTATAGATATGAATGTCCCCGTCCTGCAGTCATTCAGAACGACGCTTTACATACGCTTGCCCTAAAGCATCAAGAATGAAAAATAAAATACCAAACTCGGCCGTGAATTTCTTGCGGCTTTTACAACTCGGTTGCCCAGTTCAGTCTTGTTTGTATACAACAGAAAAATGGACCATATCTCTCCTCCTCTTACGCTTCCTCCAGCGCACTGTTTATTTATATCATGCGTGTGGTTGCAAAACAATTGTCAGTAGCTGTCCTACCATCACATTCCGTTTTTCGACTCCTCAGTGATATCGTGAAGCATAAACTCGTGATGTCGACTACCAGTCGTCGTCATCTTCCTTCTCCTTTTGCATAGCGTTCTTCCTGGCCAGCAGAGCGTCAGCCAAACTGCCACCCAGGCTGGGCGTGGGAGTGCTGCTGCGGCTATCTGATCCGTTGGGTGTGTTCAGACTCATGCCGGAGTCACGCTGCTGAAGCTCGGCAGGCTTACGACCAGCAGCGGGACGCTTGGCGGGAGGTGCAGGTGGTGTAGGCTTAGATCGTGGAGGAGCAGGAGGAGCTCGAGGCGCTGGAGGGGCCTGTTCCTCGACGTATGCTGCCGGAACCCAAGCTTGCTGTGCAGTTTGAGGGTTTTTGGCTAGCCACCATCCTAGACAGGCATGTTAGTTACGCTAGTAAATTTGGAACAAGGGACTACACTTACCGTTACTCTCCTTCTGCACAATCTCGACAATCTGACCCGCAGTGATAGAGAGCTCGTTCTCCCGTTGGCCGGCAAAGTCATACAGGACCTTGGCCATAACCTTAGGTGGGCTTGGTGGTCGTGCTGGGGCAGCAGGAGGAGGGGGAGGTGGTGGTGCTCGTCCGGCGCCGCTGGCAGCTCGGCTCGGGAGAGCGTTGTGTGTAGCAGCTGGGGCTGGGGCGGCACGCGGTGTGCTTTGAGCAGCGGCAGCTGGGATAGAAGCAGCTGCGGTAACAGCAGCTGGTGGCGGAGGAACGGCTCGTGCACCTCCTCCTGGGCGGGGTTTGGCCTGGATGTGAGAAGGTCGACCGTTAGGTCCTCCAGGCTTGATCAACTTGCCTCGGGTGATAGGACGAGGTGGCACAGGCTTGCCCTTAGGAGTAGGCTTCGAGACTGAGCTTGGTGGTTCGCCAGGTTGAGTGTGCACCGCACCACTCTTGTAGTAATCAACAGGAACTTGGGAGTCCTTAAGCACCTTGACTTGCTGCAGCTTGCCAGGCTTCTTGGCATACTCGATCGTCTCAGCGATCTTGAGGTTGAAGCCACCTGGCATCACTCGCTGCATATGGGTAAACATTTCGGTCTTGAAGATACAGTTCATCAGGGGGTCGGCCTCCTGTGGCGATCCTATTCCAAGAGAGAACCAATCGTCGCGAGCCGATGAGACACCAATAAACTTGATAGCTCCCAAAGGAACGGACTTCTCTACTTGGATTTGAGGTTGGCCGTTGACAAGCATCTGAGCGATGACATAGAACTTGCTGTTGGTGACAACAATGATACGAGGGCTAGCTTTACTGGAACGACCAAACTTGGCCTCCAGGATCTCACCACGGCATGAGAAGACTGCCTTCTCGTTTGAACCAATGCCTGCAGAATTTCGGATCTGGGCACCAGGGCCAGTGGTAGCGTTAACGCCCAGGTAGTCGCCGAGGAATCGTCGAGAGCCCAACAGACTCATACGACGCCTCTCCTTACGACCTCCGAGGACTTGGTGGCCATGGTCACGGAGCTGGAGATATTCAGCTCCAGTTCGCTTCTTGCGCCAGAATCGCTGAATTCGCGTAGCGGACTCGGCCCGGTAGGCGAGGTAAGCCCTCCACATGCGCTGGATTCGAGTGGCCATGTTATGCCAATACCTGTCTCGCATGTGCTCCAAAGCAAACAATGTCTCGGGAGCCTTAATGAACGCCTTCGTCACACCCATCTGCCATTCTTCCTTGGGAATGCTTGTATCCTTTAAGATCTGTTTCACGGCAGCCTCTGTGGTTCCTTCCCAAGTAAATTCACCGGCATAGGAGGTAGCAGGCGAAAGAAGGAAGAATCGGTCAACAAACTTGTCAAAGTCTTGACGGTATGCGAAACCTGCTCGTCTAATACGGACGTTTTCTTGAAGACCAAGATACTTGATCTGATGGAGAACATTGGGACCGTTGTATTCTGTTGGTGACTTGTTCTCGTTGGGCTTGATAGTACGGATGTAAGAAGGCTGGCACTTCATCAGAGTATCAACAAGGGCATTGGCGGACGCTCGGATACGGTCGCCTGCAGAAGGGGGTTGTTTTCGGTTATCTGTGTCGACGGGGCGAGGGAACAAGGTATGCACAAACTGGTTTCCACTGTGCTGGAAGAGGGCCAGTAGACCCTTCAGAAGCTGATCCTTGTTCTTGTCCGTAATACCCTCAACGGTGTAGGTGACATCACCAGCATAATGCTTGATAATGAAATTTCCTTGTCGCGGTGTAAGATGGGCGTGCTGCATGCCGTTGATACTCTGCATGAATGTGCGATCGCAAGCAGCGGGGTCGGCGTGAGCAGTCTTGGTGGCGTCCTTCATGGCAGAAAAGATACCGACTGGCCGGATCTGTTCGATAAGATCACAAACAACCTTGTTATCAAAATACTTGATAGGTGTCCATTGAATCTGCTCCCTGGCGTACTCCTCCTGCTCTGCCTTGAGAGTGAGCTGAATGAAGATCTGCTGTAGCTTCTCATTGACGTAGTTAATGCACAGTTGTTCGAAACTGTTCTTTTCGAAAATCTCGAAGCCGTAAATATCCAGGATACCGATTGTGTTGGTAGTTGGTTGTCGTGCCTTGAGTGACTTGTTGATACGCTCTACGATCCAGTCGAAAAGGTTGCTGTAGATGGCCATAGCCAGGGCATCTCGAGTAGCCTGCGCTTGGGCAGGGTTGGCGGGTGATTCGATGACCTCGCCGTTTCGGGGTGTCAGGATTCGGATTGTGATGCCCTTGATTAGCTGATCGGGGGTGACCTCCATCAGATAAGCAGCGAAATCTACTACGGATCTGTCTGTGACCTCAGCGTAGCCACCCTGGTCCTCTTGGAACTGGATGTTTCCAATCCATAGGATAGCTGACAGCATTCGGAAGATTTGATCTTGCTCAGCCTGGGTAAGGCCAATAACCTTCATGGCATTGAGCGTATCTTCGAACTCGGCAAGATCGTCGATACCGTCGACGTCTAAGCATTTTGACCGGCTAGTGTAGACATATGTCTCAGGCTTCTGAACACCAAATGTCTCACGGTATTGTTGCGATGCACCCTTGGCGAATTGGTAAAAGATATGGAAGTTTCGCTCGTTTGTGATCTGGCCCACCACTCGTGACTTCTCGAGGAGGTAGTTTGTGATATCGGCACCCACAGGCTCGCCCTGGGTGTTGAAGTAGATTTGTAGGTACTTTCCGAATCGTGACGAGTTGTTGTTTCGTAGTGTCTTCGCATTTCCGAACGATTCGAGTAGAGGGTTGGTTGCCAGCACCATGTCCTTGATCTGCTTGATGTCTCCCGATTCTCCACCAGATACACTAGCAATGTACTGCATAATGCGCTTCGCTGCCTCGGTCTTGCCGGCACCGGACTCTCCTGAAATAATGACACACTGGTTGTCGCTGTATGCCTTCATGTTGTAGTATGCGGCCTCAGCAATGGCAAAGACGTGAGGCGGCATCTCTAGTCGGTTCTTGCCCATATAGCTCTGGAGAACTTCGTCGGTGTAGATACCCAAGTCTCGGAAAGGGTTAACAGAAACCAACACATGGCCGATATAGGTATAGATCTCGCGCCCTTCGAACCGCTTCTTCAAGTTTTCGTTGATGGCTTCGTTGGAAACTTTGCTCAGGAGGGTCAGGTCAGAAACACCAATCTCCTTCTTCTTGGTTGTCTCAAAGGTGGCCTTCTTGGGCTTCGCGCCTCCGCTTGCGCCGTCGGCGGCTGCCCCGGCGCCCTTGTTCTTAGGGCGTCTTGATATTCCCTACAATTCGAGCGATACTTGTCAGCGAAGGAGACGCCGACACAGGAGAGTTGATACAGTACCATGGTGTGCGACTGATGGGGATGGAGAGGGGGAGGGGAAACGAGAGGTGGATAGTTAGATAGATATGGGCGTATTTAAACGAGCATGTACAGATCAATGTTGAAATCTAGCCCGTGGGAACGAAGGAATGGATTGCAATACTCCGGTATAACGACTCGGAGAAGAGAAAGAAAAAAAAATTGCGATGTTTTAATCCAAAGGAAACTCTGGAAGCTTTGGGTATGGTGTGGTGTGGCTGGAATTGAGGTCAGTAGAACTAACCATCTATCTAGTGGTGCCTGACGGAGAGTGAGAGAGTGAGAGAGTGCTCGGGAGTGACGAAACGCCGACAATTTTCCGCCTAGCACAGCCCCCCTGGATTACTGGGTGATTACTGCCAGCCTTACGCAATAAAGTGGCGGGGACCAACTACAAACGTCTGGATATTGTATGAATACGCGCGGCTTCAAAAAGTCTGTTCTAGGCAGCACAATTCCTCTTTATTATCATGAGGAAGATGGCCCTTCCAGAACTCTGGTCAAGTATTTGCTGCATTTTCAAGATGTGTTTCCAAGAATATCCATCTTGATTCACTGTGGTCTTGAGACTGCCATACATAATCCCTGCCATAAAGAATGGCGCCTTGGTTTTAACTCGCCCAAACCACTGTGTCGTCATTGTGCGTGAGATAGTTAAGCTATTCTAGGAATAAGAATCATCTCAACTTGCTATCGTTGCCTTAAACAAGGACCTACCGATAACCTACTGTAACCCATCCATTCAGGTTCTAGCCGTTGTTAAGAAGAAGTGTGATCAACTTCTCTGTTGAACTTGGTGTGCAAGGATGTTGAGGAACAACGCTAGGATTGGTGCTGATTGACAGAGTCTGGAGTGAACTGTTGATAACAGTTGAACCAGAGGATTGAATTATCTATAACCGTTGATTCCGGGTGGGCTTACTGACCCCTATCCACGAAGATCCTGTTTTAGGTTGGTTTATATATAGTTCTTAGTCCCTCAAACAAGCTTGGACGATGGCATAGGTACTGTCTGAAGCATGAGAAGGATCATGGATTGGAAACAATCCAACTCATGCAGCAATGCAATTGATCACCAGGAACAAAATGGAGTGACCCACATTGAGGAACTGGTCCCTAGAATACCGTTAGTGATCACTGAACAGTTCAATCTTGGCTTGCATCTCATCTCGTCCCGTCCCCGCCAAACAAGCTCCAAGACGATCATCTATATGTCCATCACCATCGGAACAATAATGACTCCATATCCGTCCAGGAACAATAACAAAAGCTATGCTCTTAACTGAACTGATCGACCAATACCCTGTCCTCTGACGCAGGTCAGCTTCTCGGTTGCGGGGTAGCAGCTCTCTAAAGTGGCATGGCTACCTATGGCATGCTCATGCTCACGGAACAAGCCAACCAGACCAAGCCTGGGCCGGTCGAAACATGCAATGCGATGACCGCGCATGATAAGCATGGTCTTGCGCTGCCGCATCAACGGCCCATTTCTGGGACCTTGGTCTGGGATAGACTAGAGCTAGATGGTTGGAGTAGATATAAACCTAAACACCCGCCGCATTCGTTTCTGAGACTTTCTCTATAAATTTTAAACCTTGTCGCAAACCAAGAACCACTTACATCAATTAATCAACCAGTCCATACATCAAACTATCATATCCATAAACCTTGTTGTACATCATCGCAATGGCCGACACTACTGAGCAACAACCCAAGCTTGTTGACGAGTCTCCCGTCTCTCCTGTCGAGCGACGAAACTCGCTGGAAGCTCATCTCAAGCACCGCCCAGATCGCGCCGAGCTCGTCGAGAGTGAGCAGCTCCCCCTCACTTCAATCACTGCGCGCACATTGCTTACCATCCTGCCCCCAAAACAGAAAACATCCTACCAGCCTCTACCGCTGCGCCAGGCCTCCAAGCCCACCAGAAGGAGGTGAGTTTTCCCAACTGGAATGGATGCAATAAAGCCACACTCGCTGACGTTCCCTCACAGCTCGAGAAGCACATGCTCGAGGATAAGCTCAACGACAAGATCTCGCATCGCCCAGACCCCGAGGCCCTCATCAAGGAGGGCGTTCTCCACGATGACCCGCGCAGCGTGACTCAGGACGAAGCTGCGAAGAAGTACGACGAGGCCATCGAGGACGAGTATGCCAAGCGTGAGGGTGGCGCCTGAACATGATGTCATGCGCCGGGGCATAATAGAACAGCCCAGGGTCACGGGAGCCTCGGTACAGAAACCGTACTCATGATGCCAAATGTGGAGTTTTCTTTTTTTGGAATATGTGAAATGAATCAACTGTTGATAGGTAGTTTAGCTGTGCTGGAGGTATACGTTGGTGACAGACAACGAACAGATGGGCACTGTTAGGCATCGGGCGTGGTATTTACGTCAACAATGGGAATATTGAATTGCTTTACTACAAACTCCTCACACGTCTCGACTAACACGCAGCTGGGGGTGTGAGAATACACTATGACACACCAGTTGGGCAGTAACCATGGGGTTGATTAATTCAAAGTGGAATCCTACTTCAGCTTTTACAGTCTAAGCCTTTTTGACAGCATCTTTCAACGTGGAGATTCTCCTCAAGCTGTACAAAGTGGAGGACAACTGCATACAAGAAGCTCTAAATGACCCCTGCAACGGGTTGGGCTGCAGGTACCGACCGGGAGGGAACCCAAGCCAAAGCCCCAATCCAATTCATGGAACCTGTACAACACCTAAGAGCCCAACCTGTCACACCATCAAGTATCTGGACCCTTCTTTTTTCTTCTTAGTTTCCAATAACCAAGGAAAAAGACAAAGCATGTTAAATTAAGTCAGGGGAAGGAGATGAAACAGTTGTGAACAGGTATGAGTGTGTGTGTGCGTTGGAAAAATTATTCCAGCACGTAGGTGAAATTGATTCACTAATAATAATAGTCGGATCAGTCCGACGGGCCGTCCCAAATCCCATCCAGCCGTCTTGTCTTGTAAGAGGTCAAGACGGGGAGATTTGGCCTTTCTAAAAGGTAGCCCGGACCACAAAGTGTCCGGCGCTCATGGGAGTAATAAAAGTACAACAAATAGTAAGACCCAACGAAAAGGGAAAAAGAAAATAATCCCCAGTCCAGCCCATCGCAATATCTCTATCAATCTTAGTCGCTGCAAAATTCCACGCTCTCTAATTGTCCATCATACATCGCCACTCTGGGCATAATAAATCTGCTTCATAATCTTGAAAGGAAACGCCAGTCCATGTTCTAGCCAGTATCCGTTACATATCGCTATTCAAATTCGACGACATAGGAAATATTAAAAGGTTCGCGGTTAAGAGTCGCTCAGGTCCGTGTGTATGCGCCTGCATATGTTGGTGCTGGCGAGTCCTTTTCGTATGAGACTTTGTTGTGGTTGATGACCAAGTTGCGACCAGATTTGGCGACTTGTGTAGTGTGCTTGTCTGTATCAACAGTTAGAGTGGGTCTTGGCCAAATTGAAGAGCCCGGAGACTCGGTGGCAGGTAACTTACCAGCACCGTACTCACGGTACTCGCCTGGAGAAAGAGATCGAGGTGTTGTGCTGGTTGAAGAGCTGTACGAACCAGAAGAGTAGCTGTACGAGCTGGAGATCGAGGGCTCCTTGGTGCTCTGGTGGATCTGGACGGTATAAGGGGAGCTCATGGTTGCGGTTGTGAGAGTAGTTGTTGTTTGTTTGTAAGAGTTGAAGTGTGGAAAGTTGTTGAGATGGTTGTTGTTTGAGTAGAACTGAGTTGTCTGAGTTGTTAAGTCTTTGCTTTGTATGAGAGTGTTTGGTGGGAGTGAAAAGGAGAATGGCATAGAGCGACGAAGGGGGTCTATATGTATTCGAAGCTTGGTGATGCGAAACGATAGTACGTACTCTATAATTGTAAGTGGATTAACCCAAGGCTTGACTGCCTAGAGAACCAGGATTGCCCTGCCCCAGTACAAGGCATCTCGTGCACTAGCTAGCCTTCGATATGGGGGGCTGTAGGAATTCCATCAACTTCAGGGGAGTGAGTCAAGAAGAGAGACCAGACGAAGAACCGAGCACGCGCATTGGATCCCCGGGCCCGGCACGGCAGACGGGCCATCTAAGGCACGACACGGGAGGACTAGCGATGGTGTGTGCTGGGTCGTAAACGGACTGGCAACACGGGGTGCGCCATAGTTTGATGGGGCGTAGCCAAATCATTGGGCATCGAGTGGCCCAGAGCAATAGGGGAACAAGGGAGCAAGGGACCAGACTCTAAACAAAACATCCCGGTTTGGCTTCACAATTGCGATTGCTGAGCATCATATTGGACTGGGCACGAGGCCACGAAATGACAGCACCGCACTGGACTGGGCCTCGGTGGCGAAAAGGTCGTCCAAGTGAAGCTCCCATGCTGTGGTGACGCTGCCCCGGGTAGGGCGGAGCCGTAGCGATACAGGGCGAATGAGCATCCATGTTGCAGGGAAGGGCAGGGCAAAAACCAAGCCCCACGGTGTGAGCGAGGGAACAAGGCCAGATTCAATGGAGACGCAAATGGTACGTAGTCTCCAGAGCAAGGAGACTCACTCGATTGAAAATAGACGAAACGAGACAAAGACGGAAAATGTGCCTGTTGTTGCCTGCGAATGGGGGCCACGAATCGCTTATTCGCCCTGTGCCGTATTATCGAAATCCAGAGCACAGCATGAGTCGACTTGGACCAAATTGAATACTAGCCAGGGGCATCTTTCACGATGCAACAGCCTTTGAGTGAATGCATGAAACACTCGCAGCAGCTGTCCTGCTAGAGGCTAGAGCCCAGGCACCGCAGGCATCAGCGCCAGTAACACGTACCACTGCCTTGGGATCGTGGAGCCAAATTAGTGATCAGATAAAAATATCCCAAGTTAGTCTTGGCTGGGGAAACAAGACTGAGGCCTCGCTTCGTCTTTTGCACATTCCTGGCTTTGTCTCGGACAGTCTTTGTCTTCTTGGACCCCCTTTGAACTGCGTTCGACTTGTCATGACCAGCATCGCCCTTGCACGACAGACAGAATGATCCAGATAACTGTCGATATCCGGACACAAGTCTCTGAGCATTGCATCTCAGCCTATCGAAGCAGGCGAAGCTTCCGATATCCCCCACCATGACGGAAAGGGGTTGAAAGGGGATCATCATGTCGCTCTTTCTAAAGAAAGACCATCGTGGCAGCAGGCGATAGCGATCGTGAAGCGCATTAGCGTCTACAGCGTTTGGCCCGGGGCTCCTCGGTGCGGTGGATCTGACACCTGCAGCCTAGTTGGAGTCTCCATCGGGGTTGCATCTCTGCATCTCCGCTGCAGGAACTGGTGCGTTTATTCGGCTGTAAACATGTCGATTGCTAAAGCTCTACACCATCTTATGCCTGGGAGCTGTCACGCGCGAGCAAATGGGCGCCCAAGCCGCTGCAGAAGGCGACTCATATTGTGGTCTCCTGAATAGGCATGGGTGTACATAACATATGGATGGGCGGGTGAACCCGGTAATGGTCGACTGTTTGTCACATTCGTCCATGATTCTGCGATGCGAAACATGACCATCCAGTGACGTTGTTCTGGTGTGGTACCCTGTTTTGATAGCAGCCTTGCTTGGATAAATCAGGGACCGATAAGGGATGTTTCACTTTGACGCGTCTTGCTTGGTTGGAGCTTATTTCAGCTGATATTGAAGCGTTGTGCAATGTAATCTCGTCATGAGTCACATGGTGAGGTTTCGCCCTGGCATACGGAGACAGCAACGACGAATTTGTTTAGTAATGAGCTGATATTATCCATACAGAATCTCCAAACCTATTTGCGTACGGAGTACGGATACAGTCCATAGATTAATTATCCGCAGTTGAAGGGACAACGTGACCGCAAGGCCGGGGTCATCGTCTGGTAAGTAATAATTCCGTCTCCATGGATGGACCCTGTTGAGTCAATGCTGCTCATCCAAATCTAGCATTGCAGCCTCCCCAGTTTCCAAATGGAGATGCAAGACGTGACAACCCAGTGTCAGATCAAGACGGAAGAAGTCATTGGACGGGCCGCATCCCATTGGCCAATGACATGCTGAGTTGCTGGACCCTCTAGATCCTCCACCTAAATTATGACGCGCTGCCCCTACCGCTACCGCTCACTATGATGGATGTCCGCCGTCCGCTAAACGGCCACGTCGCCGTCTGCAGTTAGCAGCCAACCCCAGAGCTCCAACCCCAAGTCCAAGGGACACTCCATCGACAACCTCGCATCTATCACACTGCCTCACTCATCGACGTCACAACTCCAGAATTACAGGATTCCCAACGTCTTTCAAGCCGTTGTGACCTCCAATTCAACGATACCTGTAGTACACTCCAATTGTCTATCCCCGCACCAACCGCCACCATGAAGGCCGCTCTCTTCCTCTCTGCTCTCGCCTCAGCCGCCGTTGGCGTCGTTGCCGAGGAGCTCAAGATCGATGTGACTCTTCCTGTTGTCTGCGAGCGCAAGACACAGAAGGGAGACAGGGTTCAAATGCACTACCGTGGTACCCTCAAGGACTCGGGCAAGCAGTTCGATGCTAGTAAGTCACCCCGCCCTGCATCTGCAAACAATATTGAAGCAAGTCATATGCTAATAGAGACAAGGCTACGATCGTGGTACTCCCCTTGCCTTCGCGGTCGGTGCTGGCCAGGTCATCAAGGGGTATGTACCATTCTCATAGTAATACGATGCATTCGGGCCCAAAGCTGACAATTACAACAGATGGGACGAGGGTCTCCTTGACATGTGCATTGGTGAGAAGCGGTACGTCAAGAATACATACAGCATAGTTCGGACATCACATCGCTAACCCTTGACTTAGAGTCCTGACCATTCCCCCTGAGTACGGCTACGGCCAGCGAGCCATTGGTCCCATCCCCGCGGGCTCAACCCTGAGTACGTTATTTCCAGCTCTCCTTTTCGCCTTACTTTCACCGCCTAACACTTTGAATCTACAGTTTTCGAGACAGAGCTCGTCGGAATTGAAGGCGTCCCCACACCCGAGAAGATTGAGACCAAGGTTGTCGAAGGTGCCGAGTCTGCCGCCGAGGCCATCAGCGAGGCTACCGAGTCTGTTGCTTCAGCCACCCAGAAGATTGCTGGCAAGGTTGCTGAGGCCATTGTCGACGCTGCTAAGGTTGCCAAGACCATTGTCGCCGATACCGAGGACGCCCCCGAGCACGAGGAGCTGTAAAGAAAGACATGATGTATAACGATCTACTCTTTGCATACTGAAACATACAATATTACATCATATCCCACTAGACATACATAATAGTGGAAGGCTGGAGAAGAAAAACAGTCGTTGTCGACCTTGTGTGCGTTCAACCGGGAGCAGGGCTCCACGCTGCCCTCAAGTGACTCGTTGGCTGCAGATACATAATTGCAGATGTGGGAAGCGTTTGCCATCCACCTGGAGTGTGGTAAAGGGATTTGTTCTGTAGATCCCGACGTCATGATCAATACCCTTTTATCGCCTCTCTTGTTTCTGCGAATAACCTCGCTTTTGGTGGTCAGAAGTCTGCCAGTCAGTTGTCATGATGGCTCCTGTCAAAATCCTTCTACACCCCGCACCTATGTGATGTGATCTCTGGGTCCGTGGAGGGCACAGATGTTACTCGAGTCATGCCAATCTGGATGATATGTCTTGAACCTATCAAACTATTCGCTACTGAGCAATAAATCTCGATGCACGATGTGAAGTTCACGAGAAATAGTTCTACCTTGGTGGAGTATACAACCATATGATCTTTTGCTACAGATTCCTGCTGCCAGGCCCATTTACAAGCCATGAGATCGCTTTGTTTGGTCACTTTGTCCCAAGGATAGTGGGGTGATGAGAGATCCGTTTCGGCTTCAGCGGTGAAGGTTTGCAGTGGCCGTTGAATGCGTCATGACTGAGTACCATATTCTCCATGAGGAACTCTGAGTAACGTCTCCATGAGCGATTTGAAGCATGCCGTTGATCTTTGGGGTTGAGAGTGTCTATATCAGAAAGAGTCATGGTACACTACGACAAACGTCTTGCTGTATTGCCAGAAACTGGTGACAGTAACCAGTCTTTTTGATCTACATGTGCAGTCACTGTGTATATAATCACACCTTTCGCCACGAGGTTCGATTTGTAGAAAAATAACCTTGAGTTTATCGCCAAGTCATCGTGGTTGTGAAGTTGTCACCAGTTTTTGTGCGGAAGTACAGGGTATGTGGGCGGGCAAGTGCTACCTACTCGAACCTACTTGGGTTGATCAACATGATTACACGAGGAGGCAAAGAAAAATGCAACACTCTACGAGCACTGCAGGTCTTTAGATATTTCCAGATCGAGTGAGGTTATGTGTCAGGGTAGGGCAGGAAGATCAATCAGATCGACTACAATGTAACGCATATTGAAATCGTCGCCACAAGGCACTACTGCATGATGGGACTGTTCAATACACAGACTGGTATTCACAAACGACACATGTTCGTTCGGCAGCTTTGTATTGATGCCCAATAATGCGTCTGAGAACTGTCTCCTAGGGATGGAAACATTATCCGAAACGACTTTGGCTGCACACGTTCTTTACAACACATCCATGTTTCGGGGACCGACGCTGTTGGCGTCCAGCAATTCAAGACTTGACACGTCTTGGCCATGGAAAAAGCCACTCAATGCTACGCTTATCGGAAAGAGACATGCTGGGCTTATCGTTTTCCGTACCTGTTGAGCCACATTTATACAAACAAGGATGAATCCATGAAAGGGGACGTTAAATTAAGCGTCACGATACATCATATACTCATGTCAAAGAATACGGGAGTAACGTGATAATGTGTTGTTCCTCCAGTGAGATCACTCTAAGGTAGTGAGTGCAGCAGGATCTTGCAGTCTTGAGCCAAGATAGTCGCTAAGATAAGAGGCATTCAACCAATGTATAAACGATGGATGTCGAATGATGAAGCTCCTCAGCGGGCGATGGGTACTAAATTAATGGGCGGAGGTTTGGTTACGGTACGATGGAACCAATGATACCCCGTCCCGCTGGCGGAACTAAGTCCCAGTGGAGTCAGTAGCCCCAGGGCCTCGGGAGCCAATTCAATAGAAGCTTTCCCGCTGCATGGGACGGACGGCCGCTACGGATAGTCAAACCCAACCTACATTGAGCTTGGAATAGACCTAACATTTGAGGAGCTATCTTGCTGTTATCTATGGCAATGCTGACACTCAAGATAAACTATACATAAACTCTCTCCATCTGGTATCCCTTTATAATAATATTTATTCCACTGCATGATGATTAACCTTGCAAAACGTTGTATCTGCTGCTGGGATCATATCGAAATTATGCTCACTGGGTCGTTTCAATTGGGACGCGGTAAGCTCTTAGCGTCCGCTGACGGGCTTTAATCCAATGGAAATGGCTGTGCTTCCTTCCGCTGTTCTAGGCCGGGCTCTCAGTCCCTTGCACTGTCACCGTATTCAAGGGGCAGACGGGACGCAGACGTAACCTCCCATCAAGGAAGTTTCTCAAGTTGCCTCCCGTCCCGTCCCATTCCCTTTGACCTTTGATCCAATTGATGCACCGACAGTTGTCACTCTTCGTTGTTTCTTTGCCCTTACTTCTTTTCTTTGTTCTGCCTCAAAATTTGTTCCCTTCAAAGTACTACTCTGTACCGCGTTCCCTTTTCACAATCTATTTCGCTTGGCTATCGCAATGTCATATCTCTTTCAATAACATCGTCAAATTAAACTCACAAGCTTTCTTGAGGCTCTTCGCCTATTGCTTGGGAGCTGAGCTGACCCAGCCAACCGGGTTGTCAACCTTGACGTCTGACTTCTATTACCTACAGTACATACAATCATCCAACAATTGACTTGATGTTCGACTTCATCAGGAATCGCTGGCAGGACCTTCGCGATGAGCATCCGCGTCTGGATGCAGTTGCCTCAAAGGTCTGGATGCTGGTTCCGCCCATCAACTTCATCACCATCCATTACGCCTACTTCATCTTCGGCTCACTCATATTCTCTGCCATCTTCTGGGGGTCGAGCCAACCATCTCAAAGCATTCCCTATATCGATTGCCTATTTCTAGTTGTATCAGCCTTTTGCGACACGGGATTAAATACAGTCAATCTCTCCGAACTCACAACATGGCAGCAGGTTCTGCTATACATTCTATTCGTCATTGGAAGCGCTATTTGGGTTTCGTTCTGGACTGTCATGGCCCGAAAGCATGCCTTTGAAAAACGGTTCGAGGACATTGTGAGGACAGAGCGAGAGGCGAGGAAACGACGCGCTGCCTTGAGGCGCTCCAAACCTCTTGGGAGGTTCCTTACGTTCGACAAGTCCAAAACAACACCTGCATCTACAGAAGCCTCTACTACTCTACCAGGTCTAGGCACTAAACAAAAAGACATGACTGAGAAAAATGACACCAATAACAACGACCTATTCACTACGACTAAACCCATACGACGAGCAGTAACTGCGCCTCATGACGCTGCTTCATCGGACTCTGATGACAACGACAGTAACATAACTCACGTGGCAGCTTCATCGAGAATTCCTCCTCTTACTACAAGTTCTGGTGATCATATACAATTTGCCGACAATCTATCGCCGCGAAGTGCTGGTAGAGACAGTGTGTCTATCTATCAACGTAATGAAAACACAGAACGCGAACGACGACCTTCAGATGCATCTGTAGCTGACAGCGATGAATCCGAAGACTTCCTTCTACACTGGAAGAAGATTCTTGGCAGTCACAATACGAGCAAGAGAGGACAGTTCTACGATCTTTCATCTGACGAGCGTGAAGCTCTCGGTGGTTGTGAGTACCGTGCACTCAAGGTCATGTCTGTCACTGTCCCCCTTTATGGATTTGCCTGGCAGGCCATATGCGGCATTGCACTTGGTGCTTGGATAAACAACAACCGGCCATCTGCAGCGACCGTGAATGATGTGAACCCTTGGTGGTGCGGCTTCTTCCTCTCAGCTTCAGCCTTTAACAATGCAGGCATGTCGCTGAATGACGCAGGCATGGGTGCTTTCCAGAACGGCTACTTTGTCTTGATCGTCGTTGGACTCCTTGTTCTGGCTGGCAATACAGCATACCCTCTGCTTTTGAGATTCTTTCTCTGGTGCAGTCTCCGAGTATTGCAATTGACGACCCAACCCAAGACACTTGGGCCGTGGAAAGAGACCATCGAGTTCATTCTCAAGTACCCCCGTCGTGTATATACGACTCTTTTCCCTTCGGGCGCAACCTGGTGGTTGTTTCTTGTAATCTTCGTCATTAATACGATCGATTGGGTTGCGTTCGAAGTACTGAACATCGGCAATCCTGTCGTGGAGAGCATGCCCGTATCTGATCGCATTATTGCTGGATGGTTTCAAGCAATTGGTAAGCAAAGACCCCTTACATAACCAGATATCACGCTAATAAACACATGAAGCTGTTCGTGCTGCCGGCTTCGCTGTGGTTTCTATCTCAGGTCTTTACCCAGCCGTTCAGTTGCTATATATGATCATGATGTACGTCTCCGTGTATCCTGTTTCGATCACGATGCGTCACTCCAATGTCTACGAAGAGCGATCCCTTGGTATCTACGAGGACGACCCGCAGGTTTTGGAAGCAGAGAACGGAACTGGCCATCTGCCCCCGATCGCAGAAGCACCTGAAAAACCGGCGCTGCGCCGAAGAGTTACGGCCGCGGCTCAGAAAACCGTCAAGAAATCTATGACCTTTCATGGTGTTGGCGTGCGTCCTCCGCCTAAGGGACCCGATGACAACTCTCGCATCTCTTTCATTGGACAGCAGATACGTGGACAGCTCGCCCACGATCTGTGGTGGCTCATTCTCCCTGTCATTATCATCATGATCATCGAGACCGACCATTTCCTCGAGCAGCCTCTTGCCTACAGTGTCTTCAATGTGCTGTTCGAGGTGGTTTCTGCCTACGGATGCGTTGGACTATCTGTAGGAGCACCAGGTCAAAACTACAGTCTGGCCGGAGGGATGCACCGGGGGAGCAAATTCGTCCTGTGTTTGGTAATCCTTCGAGGTCGACACCGCGGTCTTCCAGTTGCATTGGACAAGGCTGTGCGATTGCCAGGAGAGAAGCTGGCTCGCGAAGAGGAAGAAGACTCCAAGATCAGAAGAACAAACACCATGTTCAGGATGGCCAGCCGAGAATCTAGGGCCATATAGATAGGTTCACATATAGAAGATGCATGAGGAAGGCGTTGAAGGATTTGAAATTACAATAGACCTGAATTGGTCAACGGAATTAGAAGCCAAAATTGTACTGGGCATCCAGATAATGGTACAGCGTAGATTTATTTACATCGTTCAATCATCGAATTCGTTTATTTCAACCAAAGAACAGCTGCCGTTGTTTAGGATCGGGCACCTTTGGTCTCCCCCTCTTCTTATCCGCTGTCCGTGGCTTTTTGCTCTCTGGAGTCGATTCGCGTCTTACTGACGAACCATCGGCCTGAACAGTCTCGCGGATCGTTTGCCTCGACAAGCAAAGATCGATGTGTTCATTGAACTGGCGTTCGTCGGCAGCCTGTGGCCTGCTGCAAATGGGACAATCCCACCATTGCTCTTCAGCAGCATCTGCCTTGGTAGGGTTAGGGGCAATTTCCTTGCCATGTTTGCGACCTGGAGATTGTTCAGGAGTATCCTGATTACTGGATGAACCCTCAAGAAGACCATCAGCGTCGTCAAGTTGAAAGTCGACTTCTGGCCATTGTTCCCATTCTTCGTCATCGTCACTTGCTTTCCTTTTGAGACTCCCTTCTGGTTTACGGTCTTCTGAATCTGTGCGTCGAGGCTTGAAACCGAAAAAAGCCATGGTGTCTGGCTTCTTCGTTCTGACAAGATGTGTGCATCGGAGACCCATGAGACGCAGTTTCATGCCTGGCATATCATGCTCCAGCTTCGTGAGAATAGGGAGGGCATAGTTGTATAGGTCGTCTGCAAGCCAGATGGCCCTCGGGAGGACGGCCTGACGGGTGAAGACTTCGTAAGTATGTAATTTCACTTTGAGGCATAGGGTTCGACCTTTGCATCCAGCGCGCTTCATGTCTTGTTCCAAGTCTTCGGCTGTTGCCCGAAGTTTCTCTCGGAGCTGGGTTGGATCAGACATATCGCGGAATGTGCTCTCGGTACCAACACTCTTGCGTTCGTATTCTTCCGCTGGCTGAATCTTGGTCCGGCCGAGTCCTAGATAGCATGTGAACAAGAATTCGGAAGTTTTCTCGCCAAAGAGTGGATTTAGGTACTGTCGATACTCGTAAAGATCGCCGCAGGTTTTGATGCCTATTTCCAAAAGTTCTCTTTCGAGAACTCGACCTATGCCATTGACTTTTCGCGTTGGCAGATCGCGCATAAAGGCCATGATGGTAGGTCGATCCCTGGGTAAGACGTATTGCCCATTGGGCTTGTTGAAATTTGAGCAAATCTTTGCAAGTTTTGCATTAGCTGCAATACCGGCGGAGATGGTGATGTTTGTCCTTTGGTGAACTTCTCGCCTCATCTGCTCGACAACTTCTGCTGGGTCCATCTGGTGTTCCTGGCAATACTCTGTGATATTCAGGTACGCCTCATCGATGGAAGCGCTCTCGAACCGCGGATCGTAATTGACAAGAACTTCCCGTACTTCATGTGCCTTGGCATTATATTTCTGGAAATTTGGTTTGAGGAGGATCAAGCTCGGACAAAGCTTCTTGGCTACGAAGCCAGCCATGCCTGACCGACAACCAAACTTACGGGCGACATAATTGCATGTAGTCAAGACACCACTGCCAACAGCAAAAGGAAGATCCTTTATCTCAGGACGATCAAGCTGTTCAACCGCTGCATAGAAAGCGTCGCAATCCACGTGTACTATATGCTGGGTCAAGTCGCGAGTGACTTCAAGCTCGGCGATAAGACGATCCGCATTGCGCAGGTCGCGGGTGAGATCTTTCTTCTCCAGCTGAGTTTTGCGAGATATGATTTGCTCTATCTTTTGGGTAAGGGTCTTGTCTCGTTCTTCTTCGCGGTTGAAGAACTTGGAGCCCTTGGATGCATTGTATATAATCTCAGAAACCTACAGACCGGGCTTAGTTATAGTTGATGAATCATAGGGAATATTGTGCACCTTGGTCTGGTCTACTTTGTCTTGTCCTGCTTTCAACAGAGATGGCCCAAGAAGGGAATACTTGAGGGTTTTAAAGGTATCATCCTCGAGGGCTTGAGAAACATCTTCGCTGACGTCTTCGGTTTCTTTGTTAGCCACTGGAGATTCCGTTTTAGGTTGTAGTGGAGGCTGTTCCTCCGGCATATCAGTCGAGACCATCTCAAGGAGTTAGCAGTGGTGTCTTTGTATCATGAACAGGGGCCATCGAAGGCATCATGAAGCCTCCTGAGTGTCGTCGCGTCTGCGAGGTGAAAGCCAGAGAGTGACGTGACGAGTGCCCCTCAAAAAACCAGGACGCGTTCGAATTGCACACGAGATCATGTGACTGGCTTTGACCCGATGCAGACAGGAGCTATCTTGTTTAGGTAGTGGGGGGCGCTATTTTGGAGGTGGGACAGCTTCAACGACACCAAGGGTCCTCCCATCTCGATTGGCCAACAGATGTGCTTCCCCTCCCCAAGAACAGGCGTTTAAGCGCCGACATTGACAACTTACATGCATTATGTCGTCTCTTGGAAACACAGAAGCTGATCAGTCGCTCTATAGCTGGCGAGTTAAATGGTGCCCAGCATGAGGAAGGGAGGGTACAAAAGCCTAATGAGCCCGCAAGTTCGGGAGCATTTGGCACCCTTTTCTTTCTTTTCAAAACGAGTGTCTTGATTTCTTTTTTGGCCGATTACTTTTGAACGATCAGGAGTTCTAAAAAGAGGTCAATCCGTCAACATGGCAGCGCGACAGGGAGAGGAGAATGTTGCGACACTGTAAGTTGCGACGAATAGACAGATACCGAAGCTTGCCGAGCTCGCAATTGCTGACATGCGCGCCCAATGAAGCTTCGCAGACATTCACTACTTCTATGGCCCGGAACATGTGAAGCCCAGACACCACAGATTTGACAAAGGCTCATATGTCTACCTCTTTGAGAATGCGAACGAGCGCCGGTGTCGCATCGAGATTGCCAACCAGCCTGGAACTGAAGATCAGGACGCTTTTGAAGGATGTAAGACTTCGCTTGGCAGAGGTGGTCGGGGGTACAGTGTTCTGACAGCATATCTTTGCAGACCTCGATCAAACGCATGTTCGATACTCCTACAAGCAACAGTGTACCGTCACCTTGACTGGTCCCCAAGCTGTTGCTGACCAGAATGAATGGCACCTACCGACATATGATCCTCACAATCAGAACAAATATCACTACCAGCTCCACTCACTTGACATATATTTCTGGACACAGCAAGATGCGCTTCAGTTTGTCAATGGTGTCAGGAGAGTTGTCCCTCCGTCACTTGTCGAAGTCTTGGACGAGCCTGGCCCGCCTCCTCAGCCCGCGCCTATGAGTTCCGTGGTCCAGCAACTGGAGAACGTCGCCATCTCAGATCCTCAATATGGTTCTGCCGCCCCCAGTTTCGCGCCTCCTCCCAGTGCACCCGCTCCGGCTCCGGCCCCATCGACCGAGGCTCCGGCAGCACCCACCAGTTTTGTCCCGATGGCTTATAACCCGGCAGCCCCAGCAGCCCCAGAGACAGTCCAGCACCGAGAAAAGACTCCACCTCCGGACGAGGATCCCCTCAACCCGCTTGCAGTGGCCGTCGCATATGATTATCACAAGCAGCCTTTCACGCCGGGCATGCCGCCACCATCTCAATTCCCTCCTGGAGGCGTAACAAGTCCTGGGTTGCCTCCACCACAGTTTGGGCAGCATCCTGGACTGCAAAGAGCCGCGACAATGCCTGTTCAAGCACTGGGAAGTCCACATGGTGCAGCCTTCCCAGGCTCACCTGGATTTGTGTCTCCGCCGCCTCCTCCGCAAACTCAACCTCCGGCACAAACCCAGCCTCACGCGCAACCAACACCTCCTGCATCGACGCCAGGGCTGCCTCCTCCTCCACCGGGAGGCTTTACTCAGTACACATATAGTCAGCAGCAAGGACCGGTCCGGGCAGGGTCAGAGTATAGCGTTCACCAGCAAGTCTATCGCCCAACGGAGACAGAATTGGCGAATTCAGACATACAAAACTTTCATCAAAAGACTTCGGAGCCACGAGGCAAACTCGAGGAGAATGCGGGACGTTTGGAACGTGGCATGACGGGCATGTTGAGGAAGTTTGAGAAGAAGTTTGGATAAATGGCATATGGCTGCGCAAGCGGGAGTCTATCTGGTTGCAATTAATTTTAATTATCTTAGTTAACTTTCGTTAAACTCTTCATTCTTCACGTTTCTTGTAACCAAAGGTCTCGAAACTAAAGAACGTCCGTACCGGGCAATCGTAGCCAGGGTGACCTTTCACATACAAGACCATGCCTTAGTAGTCAAGTAAAAATCCCATTCAGGTCAAAGAACAAAGATTTTAGTTGAAGGATCATTTCAATGCACGGCTAGATGTGAGACTGAGAAACAATGCTACGTACTGTATGAGAAGGACTGATTGTTACGGAACGGCCAACAAAATCATTCGAGAGCAATTGACTTATGCCAACCCCTGCAAACCTAAAGCCTCTAAAGCAAACATCCAAGAATCACAGGCCAGGGAAGGACATTGACACACTCTGGCCATAGCTCCCAGATCTAGACCTCCATTGGACCAACAAATGACACAATACTGCTGAGTTTTCATCAATGGGTTCGAATTTTCTTTCATGGACAACCAGCTCACGATACTTCGGATAAGGACAGACAGAAGGACAAGGAAAAGGACCATCATGATTGCGACAGATTGTACGGATACTCTGTAAAGGTGCGGGGAGGCTGAGTTAAGGCGGGGGCTAGACATGTTAAGTTAGAGATCACCTTAGCCAAGCCACCAGCCACGCCACAACCTTGAAATGTCAGCTTCAGGAACGTAGCGGTTTCTGTTGATCTTTTTGTCTAGTTGAGTTTTTAGAGGCTGGAGAAGCCGTTGGTATTGAGTGGATCTTTAGTTCAGTAGTTGCAGGTTTTACGCGGCAGCATCATGGGATGTTCCACAACCATGTGAAAAAGAAATGGACATGTTTAATGATTGACAGTCCATTATGCCTCGTGATTGAGATGACGGATTGCATGCCCCCGCATAGCTAGCTGATTGCGTAAGTTACGAGCCGGGATCCCCGTTAGATACTCGATGCTTATCCGCAGGTCTTCTATCGGCGATGAAGTTGTTGTCAAGTCGAGAATTGGGTGCTACGCTACCAGTTTTGGGAGTTATGTAGCGGCCATACACCAGCCACAGATGAATGATCGTCTTGTGTTGAAGAGGTCATTTGATTCAGATTTGATAGATAGCCGTGAAATGTCTTTGATATAAATTGGATGGGGCGGTAAGCAGAGACTAGACTACTGACTTGCAGGGTTACAGCTTGGCCCTAATGGAGGGAACCTACAGTACAGTACAGTACAGTACAGTAGCCGCTCAAGTTGGCTGATGTCACCATCCAACGGCTTGACAAGTCATGATGGTCTGAGAGTAGACAATTCTTGATCTGACCTCACAAGAGAAATTGGTCTTCGTCATCTGCTGATTTTGACAATATTCTCTATTTCAAGTTGTACATGTAACAAATAATTCATCCCGTTCATCCTTCTTATCATTACACGCGTATCTGTAAACCTACCCTCTTACAGTACTGGAGTACCTACCTGTGAAACACACAAGCGCCTATAACAGAGCCCTGAAGGGAAAAGGACCCCGAAAGATCCCTGCTGGTACCAACTCAGACTCAGCCCTGGGGCCAAGTTAACGGGACGGGACCAACTGTATTAGATTGGGTCCGATCCATCCAATCCGTAGGTACGGTTACCTCCAGCAGCAGCTGCTGCTACTACCCAACCAACCTCGCGCCTCCTCACGAGCAGGAGCGCCCGACATCCATATCGCGGCTGTGCTGAGCTGCGCTTGGAATTGGAGACGAGGCTTTCCATCCTTCCCTTCTGACGCTGCAGTTTAATTCTGCTTCTTACATCTAACTATCTCTCATCGAAATTTTTGTTCCAATTCAGAATCATATTCATCTTGTATATCGTTACTCAAGCTTGTATACGAAACTCTGTTTGTACCACCACCTCGTATCGGTTCATAGCCTACAGATTACATTTCCAATTTGGGCGTGCTTTTCCGTCGTTCTATTCTTTCCGCCCTCTCCGGTCACGTCTCGCTCTTCAACCCGATTTTTTCTGGTGTAAGCAAACTTCGGCCTGTGCTAGACGGTACATACAATTCGGTTCAAAATGCATTTGAACGTTTCAATACCGCGTGGTTGGAAGCGGGAGCCTAGGAGCTTACTGCAACGCCGACAAGGCCCGGGACCTGGCCAGAACATGGTCTTTATTGTGAGTTCAATCGAGCGACATTGGCTTGGCGTAGCCCTAACCGTCATCTTTTAATTTGCAGATCATCGGTTCTATTGCTGCTATCGTCTTGGCAGTGACTGTGGTTATTTGTATAAGAAAATCTCGAAAGGACAAAAAGAAGCTCAAAGGCATAGAAGAGACGGATAGGGGAGGTTTTCTGAAGTGGTTTCAGAGGAAGAAAGGACGTTATTCACAGACACCAAGCGAGGATGGCGGGGAGAGCGGAAGACAATCCCATCAACTCGATTCCAACTCTACCTCGTCAAATAACCGACAAAATCGCAACAGCGCCCGCAACAGCAGCAATATCAACACTACCATCAACACTAATACTGCCGGTGCAACCGTTGATCGAAATACTTCCGTTCGCTCTGTGCTTACTCTACCCGCCTACCGTCCGAGTGCCAACAATAACGAGCAAGTTCTGGGAAGAGAGGGTGAGCGAGATGGTGTCGACGTTATTATCGACTTGCCAACTGCAGAAGCCGAGGAGGAAGCGAGAAATGAGGAAATGGAGACGATGTACCAGATAAGATTGGCTAGAAGACAGGCCATTGCAGAGCGAGAGGAGCGAAGAGAGCGACGCCGAGAGGCACGACTGCGCAACGATTATCGCGAGCTCGAGGCCATTAGAGCCGAAACCCGAGCTGCGAATGAGGATAACACAATTTCCGAATTACGAACAACTGTGGACCAGCTTAAGGACAACAGACAGAGATCGGTATCGAGTGTGTCATACGCCGACGTAGGCGTTGCACGTCACGACGGAACGAGAATCAGAGCCAACAGCAGCGAGAGCGAACGTGTTGGTTTGCTGTCTGATGCTGCCAGCATGCAGTCCGGACATCAACGCGGACGAAGCTATAGCTCTGCCGCCAGCCATGACGACGATTTTTCGAGCCTCGCTCCTGCACGCTCGCGGGGAGCTTCTATCCGATCAGGCAGTGTAGATGGCAGAGCCGGGTCGAGTCCTGAGCTGGTAGAGGCAGACCTCGGTGCCGAGGTGATGCCTCCTCCGGAATATGAGGATATACCGCTTGGCGATGATCGATCTTCAAGTCACGGACCCCCGCCTGACTATTCTGGCCCTGAACGATCCGCATCGCGAAGAACACAGCAAACTACCGAGCGAGATCTAGGATCGGATTGGCAGATTGCTGATGCACCAGCCGTTGACGGTCACAACAGCAACAGTCCTCACAACGGTCAGGGTAACGGTTCAGCTCCACAACTGCCGAGCTTGGGTATACCACAGCTGCCTGAAATTGTTATTGAACCATCAAGTGCAAACCCACGAGATGATGAACGATCACCACACCGATGATATATGAAGCCTTCTCTTTAGAGATTTTTTGTCATTATTTGAGCATGGAGTTTGGTTTGGCTTGGGTGTTTGTATACGGGGAATCTTTGGTTTATCAGCCTCGAATGAGTTTAAGCCTCAGTATAAGTCAGATTCTGATACTTTACATATCCGTTACATTGCGGCGTTTCTTTCGACAGGTATTTAGTATCGACATTGGAAGGGAAGATCTAGTAGACAGAAAATGCCAACCCCTGGAGCGACAGGAAGGCTACAGCCTGCTGGATATGGATCTTTGAATCTGTGATGTGATGAAGTGACTTGATAGCATGTTTCTACTCAGCCCTTGTACGTCTGCGTGAGTCTCGAGACAAGTTTCAGAGCCATGTCAGCTTCACAGTTGATCGGTATGAGATGTGTACGAGAAGTCGTTCCATGATAACGAGAGGGTGGATAACCATGGGTGGCAGGAATACCCGAGATTCAATGTAGGCAGCTGAGAATGGGGGTAATTGCTGGAAGATCCACAGAATGCTTTATGCACGAGTTTACTGATGTCGGTGAGACAATGAATGATGAATGATGAAAGCAGAATAGGACAGCGATGAGGTTAAGGTTGCAGCCAAAGACGGATATACGGGATCAAGTTAGGACGATAAATGCAGGAACCGCCGAAGCAGAAAAGACTGTAAACAGTTTAGAACAGGAATTTGAGATGATCAGCTTATGAAAGCGTTGGGTAAGTTGGGATAATACTCGGAGGGATAGATTTACAATAACCGCGCGCGCCATCGGCAAGACCAGGTCCCCGCAATTAATTGATTGATATGATGTTTTGTCAGGCTCTTGTAATAGAAGCTAAGCGTCGTCTGCTAAGCACTCATCAGCCTTTACTCAGCAAAAAAAGGTGGGTGACTTGTACCTTGTACTCTTGTATCCGGGATGATCGATGTGGGGGCATTTGACGACGACCTTGGCTTTTTTTTTTTTTCCTGCTGAC